CAACCTGTGGGTCCCTACATGGTCATGTTGGCTAGGTCCCTACACTGGTCATGTTGGCTAGGAATGATGGGAGTTGTAGTCCAACAACATCTGGGGACCCACAGGTTGAGAAACACTGCGAGTGCTCCCGTAATTCCTGACCATTGTCTGCACTGTCTGGGGTTGATGGGAATTGGACTCCAGCAATATCTGGAGCGCCCAGGTTTCCCTTCCATTTGCATCATCAAGAGACTTTCAAATCAATCCAGTTGCCAAGAGGGTCCATTTCTCCGTTTCAAGGCAGGCTGGAAGATAGTGCACAAGTCATTTCTTTCTCTGCCCCCTTGTGCACTATACACTTTAAAATACCACTTTAAACATTTCCGGCTTCCCCCAAAGATTCCTGGGCACCATAGTTTGTGGCAGGTCCTGAGAGTTGTGAGGAGACCCCAGTTCCCACCTCCACTCCCCTGCCCAGCTACCATCCCCAGAGTGTGAAGAGAATAGTACTCTCTTCCTCACAACTCTCAGCACCCCTCACAAACTACAATTCCAATGATCCTTTGGGGGAAGTTGTCGATTGGATCAGGGCTTCCTAAACTTGGGTCTCCACCAGTTTTTGGACTACAATTCCCATCATCCACTGGTCCTGCTAGCTACGGGTGATGGGAGTTGTAGTCCAAAAACAGCTGGAAACCCTGGTTTGGATCCTATCCCAAAAGCTTCCCCAGCCAAGGCGCACCAACCTGGGCGAGTGCCGATTTCTTGGAGCAAAAGGCACCCCCGCCGACCTTTTCCGGCCGCCGTCTCTTCGCCCGAAATCCCACCGCGGAGGGTCGCACGCTTCCTCCTGCCAGAGACCAGATCCTTCTCCGGGACAATCAGGAAGCCCAGAACCGGGAGAGCGGGTGATGGGTGGATCTCCAAATCGGGAAGTCCCGGGACTAGGAGAAGAAATACGCGCAAAGTTCTTCCGCGCCATTGGAGCTCCCCGCGCAGATAAGGGTGATGCAGCTTTCACAATCCCTTGTTTAAAGTCCTGGAACAAAGAGGAGGGGAAGCAGGAGAGAGATCATAACCTGCAACAGGGGATCTGGCTTCCCAGCCGCGCTCTGAACCCATCGCAAGGAGGGGAATCTCGCTCCCTTTCCAGTGCAACCCCTTTGGCAACCTGCACGGGCGCCGGAGGTCGAGATCTTTCTCCTCGCCTTTCAGTCGCCCCGGAGAAGCACGTGGCGCTGCCTGGAAATTTGAGATGTCCTGTTTTGCTCTCCTCCGCCCCCGCGCTTCTTTCCTAGCCTCGGGCAGCAGCATCTATGCCTCTCTCCCCCCTTTACAGCTTTGTTTATTGGGTTACTTTTTTTCAGCCAACACCGAATTCATGGGGTGCCGGAGTCTTTATTGCAGGGAGGGCGGGATTGTGGCCCGAAAAAGCGTTGCTAGACTACAATTCCCATCACCCCTGGTTATTGGCTTTGCTGGGTGGGGTTGCTGGGAGGGAGTTAGGGGCTCAGTAACAACGAGAGCGAAACAGGTCCCCCAGCCCTGCTGTCCTGTATTTAAAGCTGCCGCTACGTGCTGTGCCTCATTTATATTTAGTTATTTAGCAGACTAGTATCCCACACATTTAGCTATATAACAGCAACACGCATACACGGGCGTAGCCGGGGGGGGCAGAGAGGTGCCCCCAATAATCAATAAGAATACATAGCTAACTGACGTTCTGCCCCCTCCAAACAAAAGGCCTGCCCCCTCCCACAAAACCCTGGCTGCGCCCATGCACACGCACACACACTCTGCCAAGGCAGTTTGCAACATACTGTATATAGATGGCACACAGATGCAAATAAATCCGGGGGCTATTTTGCCCACGAGATGGCGTCCTTTCCCATTCTGTGCTCAAAAGCCAACCCAGCTGACAATCGCAGTGGCAACAGGACAGCAGCCTCCACTGCTTCGTTTTCAAGGGAACTTCTTCTCCCCCTCTGCTCTTGACGGCGGCCTGGACCCTGCGATCAATCGCTGACCCTGTCACTCGCACCCCCCTTGCTGCCGACCCCTTCCTCTCCCACCTGCTTGCTCCCCACTGCAACCTGCTCGCATGCCCCTCCTCCCTCCTACCTTTGTTGTCTTCCATCTCCTGCTCCTCTAGAGACACCGCACGGATCGCATGGACTGGAGCAGCCTGGGGAAGGTCACTGCGTGGTGTCGGATCGGGGCAGCCTACCAGAAGGTTGCCCGGGTCTGTTTTGTGTCAGCTAGCTGCCGAACTGAGGGCTGCCTCTGTCAAAATACACCTGCAGCGAGGTTTTGGGAAATGAGTCACAGCAGAGACTGTAGTGTCTTTATGATATATGGTTTATTTACACATTTCTACAACATGTAGAATTAACCTGTAGAGTTAAAGCTATGGTTTTCCCAGTAGCTATGGTTTCCCCAGTAGTGACGTATGGAAGTGTGAGCTGGACCATAAAGAAGGCTGGTCGCCGAAGAATTTATGCTTTTGAATTACAGTGCTGGAGGAGACTCTTGAGGGTCCCATGGACTGCAAGAAGATCAAAACTATCCATTCTGAAGGAAATCAGCCCTGAGTGCTCACTGGAAGGACAGATTGTGAAGCTGAGGCTCCAATACTTTGGCCACCTCGTGAGAAGAGAAGACTCCCTGGAAAAGACCCTGATGTTGGGAAAGATTGAGGGCACAAGGAGAAGGGGACGACAGAGGACGGAATGGTTGGACAGTGTTCTCGAAGCTACCAGCATGAGTTTGACCAAACTGTGGGAGGCTGTGGAAGACAGGATTGCCTGGCGTGCTCTGGTTCATGGGGTCATGAAGAGTCGGACACGACTAAACGACTAAATAACAACAACAACTTGAGCCTATAATGGCAGGGTTCACAGCATGAACACCTCAAGAGGTTCTGGCTTCTCCCATTGCCACAGCAGACATGGTCTTAAGCAGACCTCGGCCGTTGCTCTCAAACATTGCTCTCTGCAGCACTCTGCTTATTAACTCTGTTGCAAACTCCTAACTGCAATCCTAAAACTCTAAACTAAAACACTTGCAATGTCTTTTAAGCCAACTCTCAGTTGAGGGAGCCCACTCCTTTGCAGATAAGATTTGCCCTTGATCCTTTGTGTTGTCCTAACGGCTCATCCCCAGGCAACCGCTTCAAAAGGAAATTAGGCTGACTTAATTAGCTATTAAAACGTGATGATTCCCTAGGATTAAAGAGGTGTCTGATGCACAGCTTAATATACATGGGTCCATACCCTCCAATATTTCTCCAATGAAAATAGGGATGTCCTATTTAATAATAATAGGGACACTGGTGGAGCTGTGGTCTAAACCACAGAGCCTAGGGCTTGCCGATCAGAAGGTCGGTGGTTCGAATCCCTGTGACAGGGTGAGCTCCCGTTGTTCGGTCCCAGCTCCTGCCAACCTAGCAGTTTGAAAGCACATCAAAGTGCAAGTAGATAAATAGGTACCACTCCGGTGGGAAGGTAAACTGCGTTTCCGTGCGCTGCTCTGGTTCGCCAGAAGCGGCTTAGTCATGCTGGCCACATGACCCAGAAGCTCCCTCGGCCAGTAAAGCAAGATGAGCACCGCAACCCCAGAGTCGTCCGCGACTGGACTTAATGGTCATGGGTCCTTTACTTTTACCTTTTATATAATAATAATAATAATAATAATAATAATAATAATAATAATAATAATAATAATAATAGCTCACCCATCTGACTGGGTTGCCCCAGCCAATCTGGGCAGCTTCCAACATACTGTATTTTTCTGTGTATAAGACTATATTTTCCCCACATTTCTAAAGTTTAAAATTGGGGGTCGTCTTATACACAGACTGTAGCAATTAATTATTTCTTAATTTTGGGCTCAAAAAATAGGAGTCGTCTTATACATGGAGGCGTCTTATACACGGAAAAATATGGTATACATAGAAAAACATAATAAAACATTAAACATTTTAAATCTTCCCTATACAGGACTGCCTTCAGATGTCTTCTAAAGGTTGTACTGTACAGTGGTACCTCTGGATGCGAACGGGATCTGTTCCAGAGCCCCGTTCACATCCTGAAGTGAACGCAACTCGCGTTCACGGGTCGCAATTTGCCACTTCCGCGCATGTGCGTGATGCCTTTTTGAGTGTCTGTGTATGTGCAAGCGGCGGAAACCGGAAGAACGTGCTCCGTTACTTCCAGGTCGCGCAACCCGAAAATGCTTAACCCGAAGTTACTTCAACCCGAGGTATGACTGTACAGTTATTATTTCCTTGGTTCAGGGGTTGCATAACTGCTTACCCTCCAACATTTCTCCAATGAAAATAGAGACCTCCTAAGTGGGACATTCCAGGATAAAATCAGAAACTGGGACGGCTTCTGTAAGTCCAGGACTGTCCTTGGAAACAGGGACACTTGGAGGTTCTGCGCATCTTGATTAGATTCTAACATTAGTCTGACACACAGTTTTAACAAACAGACCTTAGTTAAATTCTAACCCTACCTTGATCAGGAATTTAGGGAGTCTTGCACCTACAAACTCATAGCAATACATAACTTGCTTGGTATTGCTTTCATTGACTGACAGAGGATTTCAGCCATGGGCCTCTCCTGTCCCAGCTGTGCCAGAAGTTGCCAGGGACCAAACCTGGGACCTTTGTTAGTTTTTCTATACTTTTCCTGCCGTGAGTGTCCAACGCCCATTTCAAAAAAGAGAACCTAAGAATTTCTCTGCCAGGCTAACTGTTCTCAGTGTTCTCAAGTTCCTCTTTGAAACGTTCTGCCCCTCCAAGTTGGCACAATATTCTGGGCAAATTATGTGAATTAATGTCCGTGAAGGAGCCACGGCCTTTGTCTCACCGCTCTCCTAGCCGTGCAGAACACAAAAAAAATAAAAGTCTGGGTTGTGGTTTCTTTCGTTCCTCATTTGCTGCTCTGGGTTCGGTTACCGTGTCGTCATTTTACAGAGGAGCCTGTTACTTCTAAGGGAGTGCGCCATCAAAGTTTGAAACACACACACACACACACACACGCCGATGGACTCGACGTATATATACCCACACACTCAGAAATGTAGGAACACGTGCCCATGACTCACACCGCTCCCCAGGGCCAGGAAGTGGCAAGAGGAGGAAATGACTATTGGGGCCTTTCACTCGCTTGCAGATGCCCGGCAAACAGAACGCCTGGTGGACTGTAGCATCCGCCATGAAGGTGAGTGATTCCCCCCCTCCAACTCTCCAGCATAGACCACCCAGCTCTCCCTTTTTTTTTTTTGGTCATAAGAACATTTTCTCCCCCTGCATCCTGTCTCTGGAACAATTTGCCGGCCAGAAAAAAATTCCTACCAGGGATTAACCCTTTGGGGTGTTGGAGTTGCCAGAAGAACCAGACCCTCTGGCTCAGGGGAAATGAAAGCCACATGGCAAAAAAAAAAAAAACCAACCAGAGTCGGGAGGAAGAGAGATGGTCTCAGCGGTCAGCGAAAGTCTTGGGATTTATAGTCCAGAATCCGGACAGGCAAGCAGACACTTTTTCCTAGTTTTCACCAGCTTGCCTTTTTCACTCCATCCTTGTTTGGAAGGGTTTATTTTTTACAGAAAACTTCTTTGCTCTACGGACTTTGCCTTATATAGTTAGCAAGCTGCCTGCCTGTGTGGCCAGGGATGTCCGGCTTTCAAAGCCGTGGTTCTCAGAAGCAGAAGTCTGAGACCGGCCGGAAAGCATCAGACTTTTGGAGTTTTGGCATGTGTGCGTGCGTGACTGCGGGAGAGAAACAAACAAACAAAAAGAATTAGGTTTCCCCGAGACAAAGCCGAAAGCGTGGGGAAGGTTGTCCGTTTTGGTGATGTTGGGACTACAGTGGATTGGAAAGGATCCAGGAGGAGAGGCTTCAAAAATAAACACCCCAAGCCAGGCTTGGGATGCAGATGGAGTGAGAGCCCCCCCCCAACTAGGTTTTTGGTAAACTCCCAATAGGCTCCTTTGTAGGACGTTGGCGGGCTGACAGCTCAGAGCTGCCTCCTCAGACGGCTGCATCATGGCTCTCACATCCTTTGGAGCAGTGTGAGCACAAGCCACAAGGTCTTCGGCAGTTGGAGGGGAAATGCCTGTATATTTCCAGCTCCACAGACGGGATGTTGAGAGGCCTCAAAACCTCAGCAGAGCTTCTGAATTTAAAACAGTGGCGGACAACATGTAGGGTTCTTTCTCTCTCTGGGTGTGGTGCTTGTATTGTTGCTTTATTCCCTGAGGCCTTTTTATCAATTATTTTCAAAATAGTGGACGTGTGCTGTGGGGCAGGACATTTCATTTGTATTTGGTGCTGCTGCAGTGAAATCTTAAAACTTGGGCAGGAGGGAGAGGTACCGGTAATTGAATTTGTTTATGCTGTTACAGGAGAATACATTTCCCCTATACTCTGTGGCCGTTTTACTGGGAGATCTAAATTGTTGTTATCATAGTCCCATATGTTAAAGTTTATATTGCTAAAGTTGCTAAAGTTTATATTGATGTATCTACTTGTTATCAGTGCTGGTCTAAAATGTGAGGTTTTTTTATTTTTTAAAAAAACCTGTTTCTTTTGTAATGGACTTTTATATTTGTGGGCTGTTGTGAACCGCTTAGCGATTACAGTGGTACCTCAGGTTAAGTATTTAATGGAGGTCCATTCTTAACCTGAAACTGTTCTTAACCTGAAGCACCACTTTAGCTAATGGGGCCTCCTGCTGTCGCCGCGCCGCCAGAGCACAATTTCTGTTCTCATCCTGAAGCAAAGTTCTTAACCTGAAGCACTATTTCTGGGTTAGCAGAGTCTGTAACCTGAAGCGTATGTAACCTGAAACGTATGTAACCCGAGGTACCACTGTATCTTTGAAATATAAAGTGCTGTATAAATTAGCAGAGGAAAGAAATAACAAAAAATCAGTTTTAAACATGCACAAGATGGCATTTATTTGTTTAAAGAAACATATATACTCTGCTTTTCACTTCATCTGGGTCTCAAAGCAGGTTATACAGAATAAAAATGTAAGATCTACAAACTTCAAAACGTAGTTTAGAAACGTTGGAGGAGCAAGCATCAGAACAACACTCATAGTGCAAAAACCTCCTGAAATAAAACAGTTCTAACTTGCTGCCTGAAAGTTAGTGGGGACAATTCTAATGTGAAATTATGAATGTGTACACACTCTCCCTTTAAAGCCTGTTTGAAGCACCTTCTTTCCCTCAAAGATTTCTGGCCACTGTAGTTTGCTAAGGGGTGCTGGGAGTTGCAACTCTGTGACTACGGTAAACTACCGTGCCCAGAACTCTTTGAAGGAAAGTACGTCTTCCAAAGGCATTTTATAGGTATAGAGAATACACAGCATAAGTTGCCTGTTAAGCCACTGCAATGCTCAGGGTTGTATCATCCCCCCCCCCCCGGTTGGTGGCTAATTTATCTCTGTTGTATGAAAAATAACATGGGAGTTGATCAGAAGCTGGGGAAACGACAGAACCCTGAGTCTGATTCTATGGCTTAAAGAAGCTATGGCCAACAGTGAAAATAATGAAAATAAATGGCAATAGATCTAGAGAAGGCTGTGTGCTTTTTATAGAATTAGATCCTGGTTCATTGGAATGCTAAATGCATAGTAGTAGTAGTAGTAGCATTGAATCTTCTACAGTCCATCAATCAAGCCTCACCACAAGAGCAATGAACGCACGTGCCCAGACACATGCCTCTCAAACACTGGTATGGTTTCCTTGGCCTCTGTAAGGGTAATTGATTCAGCGTTTTGTTGGCTGGGGGATCTGTGCATCAGTTCCAGCTGTGACTCTGTCCTGTTTTGGTTCACACAGTGGAGAAGCAGTTGCTACTCAGAGCATTCAGTGTTGGTGCTATGGGGCACAATCTGAACTAGGGTCATGATGGCTGAATTTGTGTCTTTTCCAGCTCTTTGTCTTTCTGCTGCTTGTCTGTGTGAGCCTCAGTGGTCCTGTAGATGCTCAAGGTAAGATTCTCCCTCTTCAGTGTGTTAGTCCAGGTGTGCATTCAAACTCCTGCCTCCATGACATTAACCAGTTGTGAGTTCACACCCCCAAAGTTCTCTATGAGCTGCAGCCTTTCCACCTTAGCACCTAGGCGTTTTGAACTACAGTTCCCACCATCCCCAACTAGTATGGCCAGAGAAGAAGGGAGCTGTAGTCCAACATTATATGGAAGGCATCAGATTGGGGAGGGCTGCCCTAGCAGAAGTGCACAAGTCATCTGGAGTTATGGTTTAGCAAATCCATCATTTCTGCCCATTGCCTACATTGGTTGGGGCTTATGGGAGGTGAGGTCTAACAGCACCTACAGACAGTGGCGTAGCGTGGGGGGTGCAGGGGGGGCCGGCCTCACCGGGCGCAACATCTGGGGGGTGTGTGCTCGCACTCGCAGCTCTCTGCCCCTACCTGGGTCACTCACTCAGAGTGAGCGTTAGGGGGCGCAAATTACTTGCCTTGCCCCGGGTGCTGACAACCCACGCTACGCCACTGCCTACAGAGCACCCTGTTGCCTAACCCTGGTCTGGAGACACAAGTGGCCTCCTAGAATATGGAAGCCATCCTTTCCCACTTTGCCCATCAGCCAGCAGATTTCAACATTAGTGCCACCCCTATCTTTTGGAGACAAATGACTGGGACATTTGGGCAAACGTAGCGAAGAAATACTGTTGTGAAATATTTTCCCCTGCCAATTAAAAATAATTATCCTCAAATAAGGCAAAACATATGCCGGCATTTCTGAGAATCCAGAAATGCCATGGCGACTGTTTCTCAGCCCAGTCATCCCTTCCTGCATGTGCTGCGGAGGCAGAGCAACAGACCCTCCAGCTGCTTGGGCGCTTTCAGTCGCTGCAAATTGCAACAAGATGCTTATGGGAACTGCCAAGAGCGGTGACTTCCTCTAAGCTTAGCTTCCATTATCTGAATGTGTCAATAAAGGTGCTCCAAGCTAGGTTTTGGCCTTGAAGTAGGCACTGATCCTTCTGGAAGGACCTCCTCAGACGGTGCTCCTGGTGGTTTTCGAGTTCTGTAATCCAGATTGAGGGAGAACAAAAGCTAATCTTCCCTCCCCTCCCCTTTTTATTAAAATTACCTGGTCTGGAGCCCACAGCTAATTCTTCCCTGGTCTCCTCACTGGCCCAAATAGGATTAATTTAGCCAGCTAGCCCTGATGATCATCTAATGTTTATTGGATGGATTTCCCCCCTAAATTGATTTTGAATTCTGAACTTATTGTTATTCATGTTTTATACTGTATTTTATGCTGTTTTTGTTGCATCAATTAAGTGTTTTTAATTTGTTTTTAGCCGCCCTGAGCCCAGGTTTCTGAAATGGGAAGGGCAGGGTATAAATAAAAATTTATTTATTATTAAATAAATGACGTGTGAGAACAAATCATTAAAGTTCAGGGAATGCCAATTGTGGGGTGTGACATCACTGAAGCAGTCAAATACAACATTTCCTGTTTGCCCAGAGTGGACACACAGGAGAATGGTGCTCCAGCCAGGAGGACTTCCTGTCACACCTGTGTGACCAGATAGATGGGTATGACCCTAGCAGACCCTATAAAAGGGCTAGTCACGCAGCCATCTTCCTCTTTTGGCCATTTTGCTCTTTTGCTGCTTTTTTTGCTCTTTTACCATCATCCGCAGGCTCTTAGCCAGCAGCACGTGGCTCATCCTTTCAGAGGGTGTAAGCCGAAAGGTAGGCTTCTTTTCTCTACAACTGTAAATGTAACTACAAGATGAAGCCTGCCTTCAGGACACTACTGTGAACTGAATGTAAGCAAACTTTACTGTTACCTTTAATGAAGACTGTTGTATTATTATTTTCAGAGGGAAACATAAGAGGAAACTGACCAGGAACAATCCAGACTCGACAAGCCAGACTAGATTGCTTAACTCAAATGATTCTCACAAATCCATCAGCTAGCTTCCAGCACTGTGCAAGGGAAGTGCTCTGCTACTTACTCATAAGCGTGAGCGAGGAGAGATAATATTTAAACACATATATCCTCTCCTACCTTTCCTCAAGGGACGCGGGTGGCACTGTAGGGAAAACCTCAGTGCCTAGGACTTGCCGATCGTAAGTTAGCGGTTCGAATCCCCATGGCGGGGTGAGCTCCCGTCGTTCGGTCCCAGCTCCTGTCAACCTAGCAGTTCGAAAGCATTCTTAAGTGCAAGTAGATAAATAGGGACCACTTTACAGCGGGAAGGTAACGGCGTTCCATGTGCGGCGCTGGTGCTGGCTCGCCAGACGCAGCTTCGTCACGCTGGCCACGTGACCCGGAAGTGTCTTTGGACAGCGCCGGCTCCCGGCCTCTTGAACGAGATGAGTACGCAACCCTAGAGTCGGTCACAACTGGCCTTCGGGCAGGGGTACCTTTACCTTTCCTCAATATTCGCACACCAATATGGTCCCCTGCTGAAGTTTGGGACTACATCTCCCATCAGTGCCCACCACTGGCCATGTTGGCTGATGGGGATTGTAGTCCAAAAATGTTGGATACCCCTGTTTTAGTTCTTAAGTTTTATCTTGTAGCTGTTACTTTATGTTACTTTATGCTATTTTGAAACCAATCAAGTGCCTTTATTTATTATCGTTGCAAAGTGTTTGCGGTGAGGAAAGCAGAGAGATGTAGTAATGCCTTGCCATGTTCAATTGCATGGGCTGACTTGAAAACATTGCTGAAAAACACCTGGAAGATGCAGACCATGGCTGGCTTCTGCCTAGAGAGCAGGGAGAAGCTGGAGTCAGTTTACAATTAAAGGCAAACTTAACTGATTCATATTTTCTGAAACAATATGGGAACCAAAACACAGCCATCTTTCAAAATTCACATTTCTCTTGATTTTGCAACGCAGTTCTCCAGCCAAGTATCATGAACAAAAATCTCAGCATAGAAGCCTGCTGGATGATATTGGGCCAGTCACTTAGTCTACCTCACAGGGCTGTTGCAAGGATAAAATGGAGTGCAGGGGGTGGGAGAACCACTTCTGCAAGCTTCTTGCAGAAAGCCTAGGATAAACATGTACAAAAGAAAGATTTTGCTGTTCATGCACAGAAAGGACTTCAACCCACTGCATTCTTGCTTTCATTCCAGCAAATGAAATGGATCTTGGGTTTGGATTTTGCTGAGAAGCATGCACTTTCAAACAAAAATTTGTGCATTTCCCTTTTGGTCAGTCATCAACAACTTTAAGTCTGAAAACCAGTCTTTGTTTTGTTGAACGCAGCCCTTGGCCCTTAAGACTTTAGATTTTGCTTAAACTGATGTCAGCCAGTTGGTTGGACTCCAACTCCCATCATCCCTGACCTTTGGCCATGCTGACTGTGGATGATGGGAGTTGGAATTGAACAACATCTGGAGGGGCCCCAGATTCCTTAGCTATGCTGACACATCATCAGGCTATCTCTGCATGCTCAGAAGGATATTTATGTGAGCTTGTGGCTTTGGTTTCAGGTACCTCATCCCCACTTGTGGAGCAGGAGGCAGATGGCGATAGAGCCACAACTGAGTCCTTTTTGCCTTCCACAGGTAAGTTTTGTTTGTTTAGTCATTTAGTCATGTCTGACTCTTCGTGACCCCATGGACCAGAGCACACCAGGCACTCCTGTCTTCCACTGCCTCCCGCAGTTTAGTCAAACTCATGCTGGTAGCTTCGAGAACACTGTCCAACCATCTTGTCCTCTGTCGCCCCCTTCTCCTTGTGCCCTCCATCTTTCCCAACATCAGGGTCGTTTCCAGGGAGTCTTCTCTTCTCATGAGGTGGCCAAAGTACTGGAGCCTCACCTTCAGGATCTGTCCTTCCAGTGAGCACTCAGGGCTGATTTCCTTAAGAATGGATAGGTTTGATAGGATAGGACAAGTAAGTTTTACAGTTCTGCAAATGACTAGCCATACCTGGACCTTCCCAAAAGGCGTGGTGATGCATTCATAATGCAGCCAAACAAACAAACACCAAATCACTTTGCTGCCAACATCTGCCTGCCCCTTCAAAAGCACTCACGTTCTTTCTTAGTTAAAGGTCAGCAGTATCAGTTTTGAACCCCATGCCCCTGGGAGGGAAATAAAGCTAATGTAGTATGTGTGACTTTGAACAGAGAAAAATAGCAGGCAGGGCAAGGGTTAAAGGCTCCCTCCCGATGTTCCTTCTCTATTCTAAATTCCCCTCTCCCAAAGCTGCTTTTCATTTTATTAAAAAAAATAAAATAAATGCAACCAACAATGGTGCAGTGTTGTAATTTTAGACTCTTAACTAAATAGTCTTCTGAGGAGGACCATGATAATCTTCTTCTTCTTCTTCTTCTTCTTCTTCTTCTTCTTCTTCTTCTTCTTCTTCTTCTTTTACATTTATTACCAGCCATTACAGTCCCATCATATAAATAGATAAGGAGGAAGTGTAGGTGTTCGTTTCATATACTCGGAGTCGAGTGTGGATTTCATGCTCTTTATTCAGCTCATAGTAGTGAGGAATGGGGATGTTTCCCCGAACTGTCTCCTTTATATACATTATTTACATAAAGGGCCCCACGTGATTGGCTAATTCCGGGATTCTCCTGTAGGCCAATCAGGTTGCGGATTCACTTCCACCTGGCTCCTGCGGACCAATCAGACTGCTGCATTCTGGATCCTATTCTTCTAGGACCGATCAGACTGCTGCAATTTGGATCCTATTCAACTCAGTACATAACATTTATATTAGAGCCGAAGGCAGGAAGGGTGGGGAGATGGCAAGTAATAAGAAACTTGACCTCCTTTGCAGTAAGAAAAACTTGCTGTTCCCAAATAAATACCATGGCTTTACAAAGCATTGAAATGATTGACTATTTGGATTTTTCTGATTATCTATGGCTAGAATTAATTTTATTACTTATACTTGCATTTATCATTTCATTACCTTGCATATATACCAAATGCAATTTACAATGCTTCCCCATCCTCCTAAAGCTTTGTGGGTTTTGTTTACATGTAAAGAAAGTGAAATCTGGAATGTTACAAGTCTTGGTTGCACAACTGATTTGCACTTCAAGGGGAAAATACCTTGGTACATTTTTGTTTCAGTTGCTTGTCAACTTTGTTACAGCTGCTTGTTGATTCTAACTGTGGACTTGCAACTTGCAAAACATACCTAATTTATAACAACATATATATTGTTGCACGCAACCCCAACTGGTTTCCTTAAAATGAGGGACAGTCTTTAGAAGACATGGTTTATTTACACATATTGACAACCTATGCCTATGATGGAGGAGCTCACCGCATTAACACCCCAAGAAGATATTTCTTCTCCCATAGCCGACGCCTGGGATTCATGCAGAAAACAAATTGCAAGGTGATGTGGAAATGTGGGAGAACTGAACTTAAGATTTGGAAAAGAAGACACCAGGAGAACCTGAAAAATGCCTTATTTGCGCATCCCATTGTTGCTGTGGGCCCGGCAGTTTTTGGAAGGTTCTTGAAACACTATGAAAGTCTGCAGAACTTGTTTGGCCAGAGGCATAAATGGGATGTGTGTAAAAACCACCAGCTTCAATTTGTTTTTATAAAGACACAGGAGTTCTGCCCTCCATGTTGACATCTGGCCAGCTGCAATCGGTAGTAGCAGTGTAGCACTCGAGGAAGAGGACTTGCAGATCTTTCTAACCCAACATTTCTTCTCTATATCCTGGTCTTCTATAGCAGAGGAGCCAGAGGCTGAAAGTATGACGGCAAGCCCTCAGAATTTCCAGCAACGAGAGAATGCATCACTAGGAGGTATGTGGCTGAGAACATCTTTGGGCTGGAATCCTTCCATAATTCCACGGATATTTGTGCAAGATAAATAAGACAAGACCAGAACTTCTACCTGCAAATATTGTCAAATTTAAAAGGATGTTTAATTCCCCCATATTGGCATGAAAGATGACTACACACACACACACACACACACACACGGAAATACATAGGGCTCCTCTAGACTGGAGCGGGTTTTTCTTTTTTGCGGTTGTGTTCTGCAGCATATCACTGTTGCCAAAAAAATTGCAATAGTGGTAGATTTATACTGGACCATCCACACACCATTCCAATTTATTAGTTGTGCTGTGGTGCTCACAAAACAAGCTCACAAAACCTCCCTGAAAACAAATCAGAATGAATGTTAATACCCAACACCGTCTAATCTCCCGGTAGCAAAATCAGGATGAATGCTCAAGAAACCACTTGCCTGGAAGCATTCCAGGAAGGGAAAATCCTTAGATAACATTTATGCTTGTGTGTTGCAACCGGGATGGGGAACTTGTGGTCATCCTACAGATGTTGCAGGACTTCAATTCTCACCAGCCCCAGCCAGCATGGCCTGTGTTTGGGGCCCTAAACGGCCTTGGTCCAGTATACCTGAAGAAGCGTCTCCACCTCCATCATTCTGCCCAGACACTGAGGTCCAGTGCTGAGGGCCTTCTGGCGGTTCCCTTGCTGTGAGAAGCCAAGTTACAGGGAACCAGGCAGAGGGCCTTCTCGGTAGTGGCACCCGCCCTGTGGAACGCCCTCCCACCAGATGTCAAAGAGAACAACAACTACCAGACTTTTAGAAAACATCTGAAGGCAGCCCTGTTTAGGGAAGCTTTTAATGTTTAATAGGTTGTTGTATTTTAGTGTTCTGTTGGAAGCCGCCCAGAGTGGCTGGGGAAACCCAGCCAGATGGGCAGGGTATAAATAAATTATTATTATTATTATTATTATTATTATTATTATTATTATTATTATTATTATTATTATGTAGTCCAACAACTGGTCAGGGTGGGTTCAGGCTTACCATTCCCACAGCCTGTGTGTGAGTTGTAAATCATGACGTAATAGTGAAAATGGCCTACCCAAATTCTCCACCCTTGTCCTGAGCAGAGGGGGGACATTTCAGTCAGTAGAGCACGAGACTCTTAATCTCAGGGTCATGGGTTTGAGCACGTTGGGCAAAAATATTCCTGCATTGCAAGGGGTTGAGCTAGATGGCCCTTTGGGTCCCTTCCAACTTGACAATTCTCCATGGATGGGGCAGAATTCTCCCAACAGTTGCCCCTGGCAACCTCAGTTCCTCAAGCCCATCGAATAAGGCATAAGACATTCTTCCCAATAGCTTTTGGGGTAGGGTGACCATTTACCCCAAAAAGCTGCTAGGCAAAGGGTCTTATGTTTTGCCAATGTCTCACCATTATCAAACAAACCAGGCCATTATCAGCCTTTTGGTTAAAACAAAAAAAATTCCTTCCAGTAGCACCTTAAAGACCAACTAAGTTAGTTCTTGGTATGAGCTTTTGTGTGCATGCACACTTCTTCAGATACACTGAAACAGAAGTTGCCAGATCCTCCTATATAGTGAGAAGGTGGGGAGGGGTATTACTCAGAAGGGTGGTGGGAATGGGTGATTGGCAGATAGCTGTGATGAGCCTGTTGACGACTCTTAACGACTGCAATAGGTCTTACAGGAAAAAGCAAGGGGTGAGAAGGTGAAAAATGGCTTTGTCATGTATAATGAGATAAGAATCCAATGTCTTTGTTCAGACCAGGTCTCTCCATGGTTTTAAGTTTGGTAATAAGTTGCAATTCAGCAGCTTCTCTTTCCAGTCTATTTCTGAAATTCCTTTGTAGTAAAACAGCTACTTTGCGATCTTGTATAGAATGTCCCGGGAGATTGAAGTGTTCTCCTACTGGTTTCTCTGTCTTGTGATTCTTGATGTCAGATTTATGCCTTTTGGTTCTTCATGACCCACCCCCAGCGAGCCATTGCCAGACTGGTCTCATGAGGAAGCTAGCAACATCAGAACTGGCAGGAAAGTTGTAGGGCCAGGAGACTGAAATGATCTACAAGGGGATTTCATCCTAGCTCCAATGTAACACTCTTTTCTTAATATGCAGTAGAAGAGACATCTGTAGCTGAAGTGGAGACAACTAAAGGCATCGCCCCTAGCAGTGTGAGCTTCACCAGTGCTGCAGGTGAGCATAAGAACCATGGACCACCCATGAGGGGAGGTGGGCAGAGAGAGGGAACAATCAGAAAGAGTTTGCTTTGCCACATCCAAAAGAATGGAACCAGCTCACCTGTCTCCTTCTGCGTTTTCTTTTCCAGAAGTTACCCAAGCTCAACAGCCATCTGTAGACCAGAGGAGGAGAACAGGTATGTAGAAGGCAAAAGACAAATCCATGTTCCGCGTACAGAAGTTGAGGGACTGGAAGATGAACCTTAATTCAACACCAACAACAGAATAGTGTCCTTTAAGTGAGGACAGCAGGATAATTATGAGGGCGCAGGACAGGCTATGTGGCACACACAGTTCCTGTCCCAACCAAAGGCTATGGCCAGTGGTTCAGGAAGGTGCCCTTTGCCAGTATTTGCTGCTTGAGCAGTCCCCTCATTCTGCTCTCCTGCCATTAATCCCTATATTACAGGAATATAATTTTTAAGTACACAAACTTCTGCAAATATCAGGGATTTTGCGAAGACGAAACCAATGCCTTCAAGGAACTGCAGGCCAGCGTTGGACAGGGCTGGAGTTAAAAGTGGGTGGGGCCAGAAGCAAAAGTGGGCAGTCACGGGTGTGACTCTCACTTCCGTACAGAAGGCTATAGCCCAGCCACACAAAAGCTAGAGATTTCCTCATGCACTGCAAACACTTTTCTCCATCCTTCCGCCAGGCAAGCAAGAGGCATTATCACATTTCAAGGACACATCTGAAGCAGACAAAGTACTTATGCAGGGTGCAGAGCAGGGGTGGGGTGGGGTGTGGCCTAGGAGAGGGCCAGATTGAGGGGCTTGGAGGGGCACATTTAGCCTGTAGGTCTGAGTTTCCCCACCTCTGCTGTAGCAGGAGGAGCAGACATGACCTCTCCTTCCCCATAATGGCAAGCCAGGCTTATTTCTCAACTATCTCACATTCCTTCTTTTTTAACAGATGTTTGGAAGGTAGATTACCAAGAGAATGTTTTCCATTATGGTGAGTCTCAACAAGCTGGAAACAGACCATTGTGTTGCATGCCACCCCCATCTCCGAGCGGTGGGGATTCTAGGGGTTCCAGGTGCTAATCCAGGCCTTGTGTTTCCATTTGGGAATGAGGCACAGCAGAAACTGTGGTGTCTTTATCATATATGGTTTGCTTACACATGTATACAACCTGAGCCTACACTGGAAGGGTTCACAGCATTAACAGCCCAGAAGGGTCTTGTTTCTCCTATGGCCACAGCATTCGATTGAAACAGAAATGAAACATTTCCCTCTGATCCTCCCTCCAGTTTGTTGCTTTACTTCTAGGTTACATCACTGCAAACTCAACTCCAGACTCAGGCTTTGTCTTTCTAACTATCTCTGATATCACCCATTTGTCTTCTCGCAAAGAGCCCCCTTCTTTTGTTCTCTTAATGGCCCATCACCCAGGTGATCACCCCAGCACAGGAAGCCAGCCTGGCTTATATTTTAACACTTGCTGAATCCAGGGGTTAGAAGGATCTTGCAGACAGCCTACTTCCTCCCCCTCAAACTCATAACAATAGATACTTTTCCAGATACTTAAAAGGGGCTTTCAGTGAAAGTTGGTTTCTCCTGAGATGTTTACTCATCTCACTATTGTCATCCATTAAGAGGTAATGCAGACCTTCGCACCTTTGGAAAACTTGCACAACTCAACTGAACAGAGGAGACAGTGGGACAAAAGAAATAGGGGTCCTCTCTCCTTTGAGCTCTCTTAAAAGCCATTATCTGGTTGTGTACACAGTACACCTTTGCAACACATTCAAGTACATTTCCGCGCCTCAGATAATTCTGGGTACCAGTTTGTCAAGGGTTGCTGGGAGCAGCAACTCTGTGAGAGGTAAATTATGGTGCCCAGAATTCTTTGAGGGAAAGAATGTGCTTTGAAATTTCCTTAGAAGAATAGTTTGCACACAGCTGTAGCCAACATTCCATGGTCGCTGAGCATGCTCAGTTTTCATTGGCCTGTTTAGGGTTTGCTCACCCCTACATTCTTTTTGTAAAGGGATGCGGGTGGCGCTGTGGGTTAAACCACAGAACCTAGGACTTGCCGATCAGAAGGTCGGTGGTTCGAATCCCCGCGACGGGGTGAGCTCCCGTTGTTCGGTCCCAGCTCCAGCCAACCTAGCAGTTCGAAAGCACGTCAAAGTGCAAGTAGATAAATAGGTACTGCTCCGGCGGGAAGGTAAATGGCGTTTCCGTGCACTGCTCTGGTTAGCCAGAAGTGGCTTAGTCATGCTGGCCACACGACCCAGAAGCTGTACGGAAGGTCCCTTGGCCAATAAAGCGAGTGAGCACGCAACCCCAGAGTCGTCCGTGACTAGACCTAACAGTCAGGGGTCCCTTTACCTTTTACATTCTTTTTGTATTTATGGAAACCTTGGGGGTTCTCCCAAACCTCCTTGATCCTCTTGTTTGTGGCTAGTGCAGTTTTGGCTACCGTATTTTTCGCTCTATAAGACGCACCAGACCATAAGACGCACCTAGTTTTTGGAGGAGGAAAACAAGAAAAAAATATTCTGAATCTCAGAAGCCAGAACAACAACAGGGATCGCTGCGTAGTGAAAGCAGCAATCCCTCTTGCTGTTCTGGCTTCTGTGATAGCTGCGCAGCCTGCATTCGCTCCATAAGACGCACACACATTTCCCCTTACTTTTTAGGAGGGGAAAAGTGAGTCTTATAGAGCAAAAAATATGGTACTTAAAGGAACAACACTCATCTCTCAACTCTGGAAACAGAGTGAAGGAATGGTGATGTACCCATTCCTGTTTACACCCAGTGCACTCCCACTGCTACTTTGGCTTACATTGTTTGTACACCATTTCCCAAAAGAATCCGAAATGTGCTGGCTGCAGATTAAACAGGAGTGTGTACACTGTTGCACGTGGCTTTTTCAGGGGGAACTCACAGGAACTCAGGAGAACTAGGGAGGATTTCATGGTGAGTTCCAGCACTTCTTTTTCTAGGACAAAAAAAAGCACTGCTGTTGTACTATATTTTGGTTCCTCCCTGCCCCCACCAGCTTTGATCCTAATTGAGAAAAAGAACAACCTTGCTGTATTTTGAGCTGCTAATTTGTACACAGCTTTAGTGTGTACTTCAGGCTTGCATTAAATGGCTGCTTTTCTCCATACCCTTGCAGATTACTATTCCCTGCGCAAAGGGGGCTTGATAGCTGCTGCCATCCTCTTCATCCTTGGCATTCTCATTCTCACCTGTAAGTATGAGCAACTGGGATGAGTGGAGCTGCTTTGAGCTCTCTCCCTAAATGTGGGTGGCAAAAGAGTGGAGAAGTAGAGTATAATTGTGCCTGGATATTCACATAATCGTAAGGGACGCAGGTGGTGCTGTGGGTTAAATCACAGAGCCTAGGACTTGCCAATCAGAAGGTTGGCGGTTCGAATCCCTGTGATGGGGTGAGCTCCCGTTGCTCAGTCCCTGCTCCTGCCAACCTAGCAGTTTGAAAGCATGTCAAAGTGCAAGTAGATAAATAGGTACCGCTCCGGCGGGAAGGTAAACGGTGTTTCCGTGCGCTGCTCTGGTTCACCAGAAGCGGCTTGGTCATGCTGGCCACATGACCTGGAAGCTGTCTGCGGACAAACGCCAGCTCCCTCGGCCAATAAAGCGATATGAGTGCCACAACCCCAGAGTCCGTCACGACTGGACCTAATGGTCAGGGGCCCCTTTACCTTTACCTATTCACATAATCGCCCCTCTCCTCTCCTCATCTGAGATCTTATTAAGGGCTCATCCACACCCAAGCCTAGAAAGCACAAGACCATGCAGTTTTCCGCATGTCCCATTCTTTCTAGACACGGGTCCAAGTGGTTTTCTGTTCGCCCTGCTGCCTTCCCAGGGAAAACCTGCTCTTTACCACTGAATATCAATCCACAGAAAACCTGGCTGACGTTTGCTTCGATTCAGCAGTAAAGAGCAGGTTTCCCGAGGGGAAAGTGGCAGGGGAAGTCGAAGTGTGGACAAGCTCTAAGTAGTAAGTGCACAACTGATAATTGGGATCTGCAAAACTCAAAGCAAATCCTGCACTCAACAGCTGCTTAGAGGCACTGTGCTTCCTCCAGCCCTGCCCGCCCCCATTTTAATAGTATGCCTTTTGTATCTGGCAACAGGATCTGGTAGATCTTAGGAGGGGGCTAGAGAGGGGAGGCTGAAGGGCTGGGTTCAGAAAATGGGCCTTTACACTAGGAGGAAGAGTTCAGAAAACGGTTTGTTCTCTCTCTACTTTCAGGTGGGAAACATGGAAAATCTCGATGCAGAGGGAAGAAGCGGACAAGGTGAGCGACGCCTTCCCACCCACCCATTCCTGTTTCCTTATCTCTAATTAATTCCATCTTTTGAAAGTCCAAATGCTGGAATATGAATGCAGCCCACGTATTTGTAATTAAGGTGTCACTATTTGTGGGAGGGATCAAAATGCATACTGGAACTTTGGGGCTGCCTACACACTAATCTTATATTTATCTAGATTGATTCTAGATGTACAAGGGTGGTTGGGGCTACTTGATATAATAATAATAATAATAATAATAATAATAATAATAATAAATTTTATTTATATCCCGCCCTCCCCAGCCGAAGCTGGGCTCAGGGCGGCTAACAACAATCAAAATACATTCATTATAAAATTAATTAAATCAAATTAAAATCAAATTAATGGCAACCATCAAGCAAAATTCTGTGCAGAATGCTGATTGCCAGAGGAGGGGGTCAGGCTGCGCCCTGACCAAAGGCCTGGTGGAACAGCTCCACCTGACCAAAGGCCTGGTGGAACAACATTTGAAAACTCTCCCCTTCATTAGGTTATCCAAGCCTTTTCTCCCTACCCATACCCCAGGTGAAAAAAGAAGAAACTGGTGATTGTCATCTTGTTCACTGGTCCACCAACGCTGTCATTGGTCGGGGGGGGGGGAGACACCCATCTCCCCGTTGCTGCATCTGTTTTTTTAATGAACAGGAAGTGAAAAATCAATCTGCAACAAGCTTTTATTTTCAGAATGAAAGCAGTTTCTCAAGAAGCGCAAAGAAATCCGCAATCAATCTAGATTGTGCATGGATTTTGCAGCAAAGGCAAGCCCTCGGTCTCCATTGATTCTAGAATGAGTTGGCTTGGCCTGTCATTAGCTGTGGGGCAACCTAAAGTTGGACTCCCTGCTCTCTGCTCCCCAATGGACACCCATAACCACTGGGCGCAACATTATCTAACATTGCTGCACACAGATCAGAACAAAAGCTCGTTAAATAGCCAATGCCATCTCATCTCCCTGTAAACAAATCAGGAGGCATGTTCAATGAAATGGCTGCTTGAAAGTGCCTGAACCTCTGCGTATGCTTTGTGCAAGAGATTCAGGACGAATACTCAGTAAATAGATCACCCCAAGGAGCCTAACGTGTATTCTCATATTCCTTGCCCTGATCCCTGTTTCCTTCCTTTACAGGAACTATGACGTGACTCCAGCCTGAAGCCATCTCCTATCCTCTGGAGGACTGCACTGATTGGGAGGAGCAGGGCGGGGTGGGTGGGGCTGCTTTGATTGACAGATCTGCTTTGACAGATCGTAATGTAACCTGTTATCCCCCAATAGGGGAGCACTCCCTTAGCTCCCCCACCCCAAACCCATCCATCCTCTGCCTGACACATCCTGGTTTGTCCTCCATTTGCTCCCACAACCTCCGTCCATTTTTCTTGGCCTACAAGAAGCGTTGCCTTTTCTCGTGTTACAACTGCAACAAAAGTTGTGTTTTCATTACATTAAACCAGCCTCGCTGTAGAACAAGAACATTTGTGAATTCTTTGTTCTTTCCCTTGTGCATCCTGAGGCTGGGGAGGGAGATGCTGCCTGGATCTGAGGGCCTGGCTGTCGACACTCCAGGCCAAGAAAAACCCTATGGTCCTCCATCTGCGCCAAGAAGGCTCAAATTCTGTACTTGCAATACAGTTTTGGCGTGGCTTCTTTTTTCTACGTTTGCTGGCTGTATTTGATTTCATGCTTTCGCTGGCGTCTTATATGCAGCCATGTTCTAAGAGAAGTCATCGTGCCAGAGGGATATTGCTGTTCCCAGTGCCATGAACTGTCAGCAAAATATTCATGGTGTTGCAACTGGCTCCATTTACTTGTGAGGACCCAATTTCCTGGCTTTGTAAAGACCAACATTACATTGCTGCTGCTTTTTTTTTGTTTTTTTGTTCTTTGGAGAGAGAGTGAGAGAGTGATATTGTTTATTTTAAATAGATTTTATTTGATTTTACAAAATGATTCACACAATAATATCATTACAAGTATTAAAATTTGCATATGATTCTTCTGATTTCTCAAGACTTCCCTCCTTCGCTCCGTGGGTTCTTTAAATAACTTTTTTTTTTAAATAAAACACCCCTGTATATTATAAGTCCATCTAATTTACCATCCTCAATTATATCCAAAATCTCTGTATCATTGTCAAGAGTTATTTAAAGCCTGCCAAAGAGTTCAAGTGTTTACAGTGGTCTTTCAAATGCAATATAAATTTGTTCCATTCCTTGCTGAAATTTTAATTCTCCTGATTTCTGATTTTCCCAGTTAATCTTGCCATCTCTGCATAGTCCAATAATTTCATCTGCCAGTCCACCCTAGTAGGTAACTTGTCGTCTTTCCAACTCTGGGCAAGAATCATCCTTGTGGTTGTTGTAGCGTACATAAACAGTCTTTTTAGTTCCTTCGGTATCTCTGCACCTAAAAGGCTTCTAGCTTTTTAACAAAAGTTATTTTAAACGTTTTTTTTTCCCAGTTCATTATATATAATTTCCCAGAATTCCGTTATCACTTTACAGTTCCACCACATATGATAAAATATGCTGCTGCTGCTTATGTTTGTTTTCTTAATCACTTTTATTATTTATTCGCTTCCATTATTACTGCATTTCTATCCTCCCCAGAGCTCAAGGTGGCATCTAGATCATTCTCATAACAACTATGTAAAGCAGATGAGGCTGAGAGACAGCGACTAGCCCAATATCACCCAGTGGGTTTCATACCTGAGTGGGGATTTTAACCTTGGTCTCCTCCATCTTCATCCAGCACTCTAAACACCCAACGCTGTGAACAAAGGAGCTGCAGAAAGAAAGCAACTGACTATGTGGGTTTTTGGGTTTTTTGATGCAGGAAAATGCATCCCTCATGACTGGAGCACTCCCTCTTGAGGCTGTTTGAGAAAGCACCACTTGAAGAATAGTGATAATTCCTTGCCAGAAGATGGGATATTTTGGTTACTTGACATCTTTTTGTCTCCCCCTGGTGGGAACAAGAAAAGGAGAAAGGATTTGGAAGTTCTCAAGAAATATCTTGAGAATATTTGTTGTGATTTAAATTTTGTAATAGCCTTTGAATAACCTCTGTAAACAATTTGTACAAAAAGAGAATGATATAATTATTTGTACTTTATTATTAAACAAATGGACAAATTTATGCAGAAGGTTTCAATAGAACAAAATATGGAAAAGACAGGAATGTCGGACACTATGGAAGAAAATTTATTGTTAAAATGTTAGGGTTTTTTGTATCAGTTTATTGGTGACAATGAACTCATGTTTATGTTGTACAGTTGTAAGTAAGTATAATAAAGCAAAATGAAATTGGAAAAGAAAAGAAAAGAAAAGAGAAAAGAAAAGAGAAAAGAAAAGAGAAAAGAAAAGAGAAAAGAAAAGAGAAAAGAAAAGAGAAAAGAAAAGAGAAAAGAAAAGAAAAGAAAAGGAGAAAGGTAGGATTTTAGCATACTCTTCAAAGTTAGTAGCAAAGGCGGGACTTTGTGCAGAAAATTTGCTCGCCTTACTGCCTGTGAAAAGGGTAGGGTTTATTTTATTTTAAGAATAATCTGACCAAGTAAGTCCATTGTTGACTCCCAAACTGGGAGGGGTAGCTAATGCCACAGAAGACAGAATTGGGATTCAAGATGACCTTAACAGATTGAAGAACTGGGCCAAACTAACTAAATGAATTTCAATTGGAACCAATGTTAAGTTTCTACACTTAGGCAGGAAAAGCTAGCTGCACAAATATAAGATGGGGATACCTGGAATGCCAGTAATGAAAAGTACCGAGGGGTCTTAATAGACCACAAGCTTAACATGAATCAACACAGCAGCAAAAAAAAGCTAATGCTATTCTAGGCTGCATCAACAAAAATATAGTGACCAGATCCCATTGCTCGGTCCTAGCTCCTGCCAACCTAGCAGTTCGAAAGCACGTCAAAGTGCAAGTAGATAAATAGGTACCGCTCTGGCGGGAAGGTAAATGGCGTTTCCATGTGCTGCTCTGGTTTGCCAGAAGCGGCTTAGTCATGCTGGCCATATGACCCGGAAGCTGTACACCGGCTCCTTCGGCCAGTAAAGCGACATGAGAGCCACAACCCCAGAGTCGGTCATGACTGGACCTAATGGTCAGGGGTCCCTTTACCTTTAATCTGCCTTGGTCAGACCACACCTGGAATACTGTGTCCAATTCTGGGCACCACAATTTAAGAAGGATGTTGACAAACTGGAACGTGTGCAGAGAAGGGTGACGAAGACGATCAAGGGTCTGGAAACCAAGCCTTATGAGGAACAGTTGAGGGAGTTGGGTATGTTTAGCCTGGAAAGAAGGAAAGTGAGAGGAGATATGACAGCCATCTTCAAATATCCCAAAGACAAATATCCCAAAGACATGGAAGAGGGAAAAAGCTTGTTTTCTCCTGTTCCAGAGGGCAGGATCTGAATCAATGGCTTCAAATTACCAGAAGGGAGATTCTGACTAAACACCAGGGGAAACTTCTGACAGTAAGAGCTGTTTGACAGTGGAAGGGTCTCTCTCAGGAAGTGGTGGACTCTCTTTCATTGAAGGTTTTTAAGCAGAGTTTGGATGGCCATATGTCATGGATGCTTTAGCTGAGATTCCTGCATTGCAGGGGGTTGGACTAGATGACCCTTGGGGTCCTTTCCAACTCTACAATTCTATGCTTCTAATGATAATAAGCACATTTATAAATTGCTACGCTGTGGTGTATTCGGTAAAAATGGAACATAATATAGAAACACAGGCTCTAAATGCAATAAAATCAAGTTAAAACTTTTTTTAAAAAAAATCCCTACAAATGCCAGAAACAAGAAAACATCAGATATAAAACTGATTTTGCACAAATGACTAGCTTGCATTTCCGGGAAAGCTTTCCTAAACCAAATATGTCTTCAGTAGGTGCCGAAGCACCATTATGCTCTGCCGCTGCCTGATTTTGGCTGGCAATTCATTCCAGAGAGCTGGAGCAGCAACACTGAAAGCCTCGATTCTCACACGGGCTAAGCGCGCCCCTGGGGCCATCCCTGTATCATCTACAAAGCCATTAAAGGCAGACGCTTAAATTCCCCAACTGCATGCTTTCAAGGGAGGTGGGTAAGATGTTGATCCTGTCTTTCTGTCTCAGCAGCAGCCTATTTGGCCGAGGCAGCTCTTCAGCTCGCTCTCTTCGTGCAACCTCTCCAAGATCCGCGTCTGCTGACACGACCCGGAGGTGGTAAGGGAAGGGAACCGGGTGCCCAACGCTCAGGGCGCGCCGGGGTACAATTTGTAGGGGTTTCGTCCCTGGCTTTTGCAAGATGAAGGAACTGTCTCCCGGATTCTCTTCCATAATCCAGCTTGCTTCTCAGCCCCATCTTCTGGCAAAAGGAGTAACGCACAGTTAAGGGAGGCGCTACAGAAGCCTTGGGGCTTATTAGGGGGAAAGTGGAAGGTGCCGGAGGCTGGGATTTGTGCCGGCTTTGAGGCGGGGGAGACGAAAGCCACGCCCTCCCTGTTTCTACGAAACGCTCAAACATCCTGGGTTGCCAAGCAGCCGCCTCACTCTTTGCGCAGCGTGTAGATTATTTGAGCCGCACTTTTTTAAATGATGGAAATGATGGACTTCCGCTTGTCCCGTGACTAGAAAGAATGGTTTCCCCCTTGCCCTGCTCCTTTCCCAGGGAAAACCGGCTCTTTAGCTCTAAATCGGAACAAATTCATTGCTGGGGTTGGACTAGATGACCCTCGGGGTCCCTTCCAACTCAACAAATCTATGATTCTTTGAAAATGCAAATCCGTGGAAAACAAGGCAGGTGGGTGGGATATAGTAGTAGTAGTAGTAGTGGTAGTAGTAATTCATGTGGGCCAAGGAGGAAAGCTGGGACCTAGGTACAAACTGTTCTGGAAACATTTCCAGAAGCCGTAATGATGCACTTTGCATCTCCATCTGGAGAAAAGCTGAACCACTGCTTTTCTAGATCCAGGCTCTAAATACTCTGCCGCTTCCAAAATGTGACTCTTCACCATTTATTTCTGTGTGCCTTGCTCTCCTTTCCCACTCTATCCTCGTGTCTCTTTATCATCTCTGTTTCCCAGAGAGGCAGTTAAGACTAGAAATTGGCCTCCATGGATCCAGGCGGCTCGAGAACTATTATTTCAACTCAGATCGTGCCCCACAAGCTTTCTGAGACACCCATAGGTCCAGAGGGCTCTGGAGCAGGGCCTCCGACTCAGATTGTGACCCAACAACCTCAGATTTTCTCCAGCGTTGGGGCCAGTCCTTCTCTTCAGAGGCCACTGAAGAAATTTTATGCCGGGGAGCCGCTGGCACTGGGGGTGAGTGCAAACAAACAAACAGGAGCAGCAGTGTTTGAGTCCACCATGTCCGCCCTGCACCAATAACTGTCTCTTTTGGGGGCTTTCTTCTCCAATCAGCTTGAGAGTGATGCTTCTCAGACAGTATCCAGGGCACCTTTGGGTTCCTCTGGAGTAAGATCAGAATGGTGAATTAACTTGCAGCACTGCTGAGAATGTGTAAAACTGGATTGTGGACCATCCAGATTTTGCTGGACCAGAACTTCCATTATTCTGGCCATTGGTCATGCTGACGGGCTGATGGGTGTCAGAGTCCAGCAATGTCAGGAGGGCTGCAGGTTTCAAAGCCTTGACTTAATGGAAGGGAAGCATGTGCATCCCAACGTGCAATGAGGGCTTATAAGAGGTGGGCCTGCCCATTCATGAAAAGGAACATTTTGGCACCAGCAGGGGGAATAGACCTCTGGCTTAGGGAATGGAGCCAATTATTCCCACTCCTTATAAGTTTTAGGGTTCTGTAAAGGGGTGGGGTGAGAGTTGTGGGAACAGGGCTTGCAGAGTTATCTGTCTGTGGGGCAATATCCAGACTGTCAAATGCACAATCCTTGATTTGGTTTTCAATGTGTGCATTTTATTTATTTGGTTTTGTCCGTGGTGGCTGTGCCCAGAGTGGCTGGGGCAACCCAGTCTGATGGGCAGGGTACAAGTAATAAATCAGGCATAGGCAAACTCGGCCCTCCAGATGTTTTGGGACTACAACTCCCATCATCCCTCGCTAGCAGGACCAGTGGTCAGGGATGATGGGAATTGTAGTCTCAAAACGTCTGAAGGGCTGAGTTTGCCTATGCCTGTCATAAGTCATCATCATGAAACATCCCAAAGTGATGGATAATAAAATCATCAGGAAAACAGCAGCAGCAACAACAACAACAACAACATGTTTTAAAGCAATTCCAAATCCAATACAGATAAAGGGTGTGGTAAGAATCTCAACCTAAAAGGTTTGTTGGAAAATGAAATTAAAATTAAAAAAGGGAAATGAAGGTCCTCAGAAGCTCCTGAAAAGGCCCTAGGGATGGTGCCCGCCTGATATTTAATGGGAGGAAGTTCCAAAGGGAAGTGCTGACACACTAAAGCTTTGATCTGTACATGATTTGGAAGATCTCCAGGTGTGATGGTACTTGCAGGAGTAGAATGCAGAATGCAGTGGTTGGTTTGGTATATAATGGGCAGGGCAATCCTTTAGGTCTCCTGGTATCAGTACCTTGACCGTAGCCAAGCAGCTAATATGCCACTGGGACAATTGGTGAGCAATTGTTGTGTGAGCAAAGGCTGAGAGGAACACCCACATATCCACTGTGATAGGTAACAAAACACATGAAACAGACCTCAGTTAAGGTGACCTGCTGATAATATCCTGCTAAACCTGTGCAGGATCTGAATCTGTTTTCTTGCAGCAAATCAGATCATATTCAGAGGGCAGTTGCATTAAAACTATTGCAGCAAAAACAAGTCTTGCGGCATTTGTAAGACACATTTATTACAGTACAAGACTTCCGTGGATTAAACCCTATGCCATAATAAAAGTGTTGAGCCTTTAAGGTTCCACTAGTCAAAAATGTTTCCATATTTCAAAAGGAAAAATGTCACCCACCTTCTGAAGTTTATTATCATTTAGGGAACTTGTCATGGGCAAATTATACTTATATCGTCAAAGATGAACAAGATCAGGGTAACATCATGTTTAATTCTCTCTTTGCAGATCATTCAGATACTCATAGGCATCACGGGAATGGCTTTTGGGCTTGTGATGAATGTGGCGTCTAATGACTTCTTGCTTTATGCAGTCATAATGACCCCGTATTGGACAGGAATCCCGGTAATTCTTCATATTTGAGCCTAAGAGAAGTTTGGCAGGATTCACCTTTGCTCTGTCAAACAATTCCTGTGCTAGTGCTGTGTTTTGAAACCTGCTTTCTGCTCCACGTTTGCTGAATGGCTGCCCAAAGCAGGCAGGTCTAACTAAGGACATAGGAAGAGTGTGCTGGATCAGACCAAAAGCCTATCCAGTTCAGTGTCCTGTTTGCCACACTGGCCAATGAGATGCCCCTGGGAAGCCTGCAAGCAGGTCATGGAGGCAATAGCTATTGGATACTTGAGTCCCAAACCATTAGGGCCCTAAGAACCAACGCTTCGAACTGTGCTTGGTCATTGAACTCAGCCACATTAGTAAAGAAAGAATGATTTGAATGTGCTGTAAACATGCAACACCAGATGGTGCCAGAGAGCAGGACATATTTAAATGCGATTTTCCATAGTTCTACCCCCCTTAGTTATACAGTGGTACCTTGGGTTACATACACTACAGGTTACAGACTCCGCTAACCCAGAAATAGTACCTCGGGTTAAGAACTTTGCTTCAGGATGAGAACAAAAATCATGCTCCGGCGGCGTGGCGGCAGCAGGAGGCCCCATTAGTTAAAGTGGTGCTTCAGGTTAAGAACAGTTTCAGGTTAAGAACAGACCTCCGGAACGAATTAAGTACTTAACCTGAGGTACCACTGTAATGATCTAATTTCTGACTTATTTATAGCGTCCCCCTCCCCCCGTGTGTAGATCCACCCCAATATCCACCAATAATCCAGCATCAGAACATTCTCTTAGAACAGCTGAAGTTTCTGCCAGGCTTTCATAAGCAGCCCAGTGTACATTACATTGCAGTAGTCACCAGAGAGCATGGAAACAGTTGTTTTGTTGAACACAGACCCCTGATCTGAATGGGAAAATCTCCTGATTTACAGTATTTTTCGCTCTATAAGACGCACCAGACCATAAGACGCACCTAGTTTTTGGAGGAGGAAGACAAGAAAAAAAATATTCTGAATCTCAGAAGCCAGAACAACAAGAGGGATCGCCGCGCAGCGACAGCAGCTATCCCTCTTGCTGTTCTGGCTTCTGTGATAGCTGCGCAGCCTGCATTTGCTCCATAAGACGCACACACACACATTTGTCCTTACTTTTTAGGAGGGAAAAAGTGAGTCTTATAGAGCAAAAAATACGGTAAGTGGATCTGTTCACCCAAACAGGTCTCCTGGATTGAATGGCCTTTGTACGAGGGATGTCAGGTCAAGTATTAGTGATTTTCATTTGAAGAAAGTCAGATGATGCCCAATCTAACAGTTCTCTGATCAGAGGCGGAGCTAGCTGCTCTGGTACCCGGGGGCAGGGTGAGCATCCCAGGGGGGTGGCACGGCGATGTAACCCCCCCAAGGATGACACCCAGGGCGGACTGCACCCACCGCACCCCCCTTCCTCCGCCAGTGCCTTTGATTATGATCTAGTGGACAGAACCAGACAGTCAGTCCATTTGAGATTTGTTCATTGCCCCTTATCTCTCTCTGTCTCTCCGTCTGTCTCTTGCAGTACCTCATTTCAGGATCCCTGTCTGTGGCAGCTGCTAGCAACCCCAAGAAGCCGCTGGTGACTAACCTCTTATGGGGTGGTGTGATGTGAAGAGTCTGATGAAAAAGAAAGAGAGAATTTGTGACTTGTGTTGCTTGCCGTTTAAGGACACTTCCTAGACTTCTGAGTTCTGAGGCTGCCTTGTAAAATGTAGTTCATTGCTTAGAGGTTGCTATCTTAATGGGGCCTGGCAACTGGGGTGGGCCAAAGAGACATGTTGGAGTGACATAGGTCAAGGATGGGGAATCTGTGCCTCCACCCCCAATGTTGCTGGACTTCAACTGCCATCAGCCCCAGCCACTCATCAGGAGTGATGAGTGTTGCATTGAGTGCCAACATATTATCCTCCCCCACAGTGACATACCAGGGAAAGGACAGGGGGCCTTGGCAGGCATCTTGAGGGCACGGTGGGGACCTCATCTTGAAGGCTGTTCTTAAAGGTGCTCACTCTCATCAGGGTCTTTGGCCAGAGACACAATGGCTTTTCTTCTCCATCTGTAGGTGAAGAGCATGCTGGGATTGAATGTGGTGAGTGCCATAGCTGCTGGCCTTGGGATTATCATCCTTTCTTCATCTTTGGCTATTTCAGGCCTGGGGTCTCATGCCAGGTATTGGTGCAGGAACCTTGATACAAAACTGGCTCGTAGGTGTTACGAAACCAAAGTCATCCCTGAGGTGAGGACACGTCCTGGCAAGATGATGACGATGATGATGATGATGATGATGATATATTGATACCGTGCCCATCTGTCTGGGTTTCCCCAGCCACTCTGGGAGGCTCCCAACAGAATGTTAAAAATGAGATAAAACATCAAATATTAAAAACTTCAGAACCACTTGCAGAACCATTTGCGCCCTGAAAGAAAGGTGCAGGGGGCCAAGGTGGAACAGCAAGCATTCAATATGGTGTTTCTAGTACAAAAACTCACAGGAACATGGCTGAGGAGCAAGTGGGGGATCAATGGAAGCTGGTCCATTATGTGGAACAAAGCACTGGCCCACCAGCCTGACTTTGCCCTCAGCCAGCCTCCACCTGCCTGCCTCCTTATTTACATACTGTAGATATATGTGGTAAAGAAGAGCAATTCCTTACAATCAGGACATATCTTTCATTCACAGAACATACTGTCTGGAATGATGGCTGTTCACCTGGCATTCACCATCCTCGAATTCTGCATCTCCATCTCCACTGCTGCCTTTGGGTGCAAGACGGTGTGCTTGAAAACCCACACAGAAACGGTAACATTTGAAAGGAAGTGGAGTTTGGCAATCCAAGCAAACGAGTGGGGATTCTGGAAGTGGGATTGCTTGCTCTCCTGTCTCGTAAGGGGTAGGGGTTGTTGTCCAAATAGTATTCCACATCCGGGTTGCAATTCTTCATCTGGGATGCTCATAGAATTTATCCTTAGCTTCGCACTGCCAGCTTGCCACTGTGGAGAAGCTAGCATTTAACCAGAAATTAATGACTTTATTCTCAGAACTGTGGAACTTAAATCCTCCCACCTGTACTCTGAGACGTGTGTCTATTTGCACACATTTTGGAAACAACAAGCGCTCAGTTAAAATGAAGGCATTTCAGATTGCACTTCCCAGTTCCTCATTGTAGGGGAAATAATATTTGAGCCAAACCTCTGAGTGAATGACTCCTCTGCAGGCAGCTTTCTAGGCTGTTGCCATTCTGGGCAATCAGTAGATTGTTGGGCTTGAACAGCTCCACATGCAGAGCTTTGCAAATCTTCATGATCAGCTGATTGTCCAAGCAGGCAAAAATGGGTCACCTGACATTTTGACATCATGCCATTGACAGGAGAGGTAAGGATGCAGTTTGTCACCCATTTTTTATCTCATAAAGCTGCCTAGATAAGACTGGTGGTGTGTGAGTAATGCTTTAAAAAAAATGTTGAGGCCAGAAATGAGGTTCAACAACATTTCTGGTGTTCAGAGGTGGGATGCCCTCCCTAGTCCCTTGCCTCTCCCCATGAATAGCAAATATTATGGAAAACTGCACAAAACTATGCAAAACCCAAGAAATTGTGCAACATCGTCATTCAGAATTTAGACCTTTTAGGGGGCAAAATGGCAGAGTCCATAGTCTGGATACCAGCTCTGAGATTTACACATGATGTCAACTATGATATTCAGGGCTGGCGGGTGACGGTGAGGTATTGGAGGACATAGCTATTTGTCATGCTTCAGGGAATCAGCTTCCTCTCCACCTTGGCAGTAGATAAGCAGAACAAAGGAAAAGGAGTCTTCTTACCAGTTAGAAACTTTAATAATCACAGTGAGAGAACAAAAATCCCATCTCCTAGAAATGGCAGTGCTCCCAATTAAGAATTCCACCCCCTTTCATCCCATGTCACTTCTACTTCTTGTAATCTGATCTTGCACCCTCTGTGCTTTGTGTGCTTTCTGCTCTGCCACTTTCTTAGCTCTTCTTGACCTTGGGCTGAGCGGAGGAATGCTTTCCAGAGACAGTGAATCTGTTAACTCCCCCCCCCCAGTGTTTCTTCTCCTAGCTCTTCCCCATCCAGTATTTCCCAGCTTCTGCCTTCTGAACTATGTCCCTCTGCAAACCACTGTTCCAAATCTATACTGTCCTCCTGCTCTTGGGAAGATTCAGGATCTGGGTCAGGAGCAGGGGGATGCTTCCACCATTCCTCCTCAGTGCAGCCTTCCTCAGCACAGTCCCTGACACTATTTGGGCTACGTAGCCTGCCCCTGCCCTTACTAAGCAGCCCTGTTATCCTCAGATAGTTTGCCAAACTCTGCCCCTTTATTCACAAGTTGAGCAGCAGACAGACACTCTCCCAGGCTGATTTTCTTCCTTTCTTCAGGTTGTGGTGGTTTACCAGAACACGATTCTGGACAGTGCTAATGCTGCCAATCTCCCGGCTTCTGGCAAGGATGCAGAGAACACCTGAACTGTTGCTTCTTCCATGCAATGGTCCTGGAGTCCTGCCTCAAAATCAAGAGCAGAAAGATTCAGACTTTTTCATCCGTATGTACATATATTCCAAACAGGCTTCTTAACAGATCTCCAATGAAAAGGATAACATGCCCAAGTCAACATATACCATGAACTATACAAAACAAGATAAATAGGCATGGAGAACCCTGATGACAATGGGGAATGGCCTTGAGCCAGCAGAGCTTTAAAATTTTGGATTAAAATCTAAACTTGGTGTGATATATGACATGCCTAAAGCCCAACTAGGGATAAATGGGAATCTTTAAAATCAATTCATATCTACCAAAGGGATCTAGGCAAAAGTGGTTTTCTGTTTTGCAAGCTGCCTGGAACCATTAGCAATTGACTTTTGATAGATTCTCAGTAGTGCTAATTACTGACATTACTAATCTGAAAATGGTAATTAAGAGGAATATACATAGTGTTACCTTGACACTACTGCTATAATTTATAAAGTATCAATCGCAATTTCAGTGGGACACTTGGGTATGTTTCGTCTTCCAAATTCCATTGCAGGGAGGTGTTTTTTGAGGGTCACCATTGTTGAGAAGCCTTGCTCACAAACTGTTAATAAACCTATGACCCCAGTAAATTTGCTAATATGTCATTGCTGTCATTTCTTCTTTCTCTATGTTTGATACTAAAAAACCCCTGTAGATTTGACGGAGAGGATTTATTTCTGTATATGATTTTATTTATCCACTCAGATATTGTGAATAAGTTGCATATCATATCTTACTATATAATAAAATTGGAAGTTGTCACCACTCTGTTTTCATTGGCTGTTTTGCAAGATTCTAAAGGCAAGGGCAGCATGAGGTTGCTTTGAAAAACATTGTGATGATGCAGGGTGGGGAGAGAATTGAGCCAGAGCAAATGAAAAAGTACTCTATCCCTTAATTCTCGGGGTGCATTTATTCATTTCATAAAATCTATATACACTGCTTGGCGGTTTTTTTGTTGTTTTTTTTTTTAAAAAGTGGTATATGAAAGTGTGTTCTCATTACCATTTATTCCGCATCCAATGTTCTCCTGCTGTTGATTTTTGAAATCACATTCCCATCATGCTAGTTACAGTCATCATAGTGATCCTGTAGTTTCTTCACAAAGACTTCTGTCTGATCCTGTCTCTGTCTCTCTCTCTCTCCCCCCCTCCCTCCACCTCAAAACATCAATCTGACTAGGAAACTGGATGCGGAGTAAACTGTGATGTGAACACTTCCTAAGAATGACATTTGAGTCAGGGGCAGACAGCTTCATGAAAAGGAGTTTTTTGGGGGAGGGGTGGGCATTGCAGGGCCCAGAATCCAAAAAGGTCACACGGGTCAGGTGAAGCCATCCCCACTCCCCCTCTGATGTGAATCGTTTTTTGACAGAATTACAAGCCTGGTAGATGAAGGGAACGCAGTGGATGTAGCCTACCTTGATTTCAGCAAGGCATTTGACAAGGTGCCCCATGATATTCTTGTAAAGAAGCTGGTAAAATGTGGTCTTGACTATGCTACCACTCAGTGGATTTGTAACTGGCTGACTGACCGAACCCAAAGGGTGCTCATCAATGGTTCCTCTTCATCCTGGAGAAGAGTGACTAGTGGGGTGCCACAGGGTTCTGTCTTGGGCCCGGTCTTATTCAACATCTTTATCAACGACTTGGATGATGGACTCAAGGGCATCCTGATCAAATTTGCAGATGACACCAAACTGGGAGGGGTGGCTAACACCCCAGAGGACAGGATCACACTTCAAAACGACCTTGACAGATTAGAGAACTGGGCAAAAGCAAACAAGATGAATTTTAACAGGGAGAAATGTAAAGTATTGCACTTGGGCAAAAAAAATGAGAGGTACAAATACAAGATGGGTGACACCTGGCTTGAGAGCAGTACATGTGAAAAGGATCTAGGAGTCTTGGTTGACCACAAACTTGACATGAGCCAACAGTGTGATGCGGCAGCTAAAAAAGCCAATGCAATTCTGGGCTGCATCAATAGGAGCATAGCATCTAGATCAAGGGAAGTAATAGTGCCACTGTATTCTGCTCTGGTCAGACCTCACCTGGAGTACTGTGTCCAGTTCTGGGCACCACAATTCAAGAAGGACACTGACAAACTGGAACGTGTCCAGAGGAGGGCAACCAAAATGGTCAAAGGCCTGGAAACGATGCCTTATGAGGAACGGCTAAGGGAGCTGGGCATGTTTAGCCTGGAGAAGAGAAGGTTAAGGGGTGATATGATAGCCATGTTCAAATATATAAAAGGATGTCACATAGAGGAGGGAGAAAGGTTGTTTTCTGCTGCTCCAGAGAAGCGGACACGGAGCAATGGATCCAAACTACAAGAAAGAAGATTCCACCTAAACATTAGGAAGAACTTCCTGACAGTAAGAGCTGTTCGACAGTGGAATTTGCTGCCAAGGAGTGTGGTGGAGTCTCCTACTTTGGAGGTCTTTAAGCAGAGGCTTGACAACCATATGTCAGGAGTGCTCTGATGGTGTTTCCTGCTTGGCAGGGGGTTGGACTCGATGGCCCTTGTGGTCTCTTCCAACTCTATGATTCTATGATTCTATGATTCTATGAATAACACCGTGCAGATGCAGTTTTTTAAAAAAGAAGCAGGGGGGTCCACGACCTTTTAAGCTGCTAACGTAAACAGTACCCTTAGAACCGGTTCGTTTGCAAAACTCCGTTCAGAGTTCTCCCACGCAGAAAGCCAGTCTCGTCCCCCCACCCATCTCCTCCTTTGAGCTGCTTAGTTTTCAGTGGGGCGATGGGACCTTTGCTGCTGCTGTTGCTGTCGTTGGGCACATGGGGCCCGGCAGCTTTTGCTGCGACCTGCCTCAAATTGCGCAGGGGTCGTCCTAATCCTTGCATCGGGATTTCTCTCCCACCCTCCACCTCCTGACCAGCTCCCGATTTACGATGCCGCCTACGATTTCTTCCGGCAAGGAAACGGTTAATAATAATGCCCACTTGCCAGGAGGAATGTGCTGGCAGAAGAGTAGCAGCCGCAGCTCTTTCGCTGTTGCGCTCCGAGTCCTCCGCCCGCGTGACGTGTGCTTGACCATGGGCGTCGCGGGCGGAGAAGCAGATCAGGCCTCTCTTCTGTCAATCGCCCTCGTTCTCCGGTGGGGTCCGGCTCAGAGGAGGGCTGGGAGGTGCGTGCAAAGCGGGTGGGGGCTTGCGGAGCGGTAAGTCGGCTTTGCAGCTGGCAGCAGGGCTGGGGGTGGGTAAACCCATCCCCGATTTCCCTTCTCCCGTCTGAATCCTCCCACCAGCCGGAGGAAAAAACAAGGACAGCATCTCTCCTCCTGCCCGTTTCTACACTTAGCCATGCCAGGGGGAAATCTCTGGCCTCCCAGTTACCAGGACGACCAACCTTTTGTTCTGGCCCCTGTGACTTTGACCTTAACCATAGTTTTGTTGGTTTGCGTTTCGTCGGCTTCTCCCCGCCCCCCTCTTCATTTTTACCCCATCGCTGTGATAAATCTTTAGACCAGGGGTAGGACTGGAAGTGGAGACATTCAGGTCATGTATCCACAGCAGAGGAACACCGGCTGGGAGGAGTGCAGAAGGCCATGGTGCTCCTGTAGCAGCAGAATTGGACACCTTCACCTGCCTCGCCTGCAATGAAATAGGTCTCTCCTGTTTCGGTCTCTACAGCCACAGCAGGGGTTGTAACTCTCCAGCTTCATCCTCAAAGGTACACCCTTCCATTGTCTCCCGAGACAGATAGATGCCAAGAACAGGAATGGCCAGGGATGATGGGAATCACCCATCCCTTGCTAGTCCTGCAGATGCAGCTGTCTTTGATGGCATCTTCCCCCCCTCCCCAACAGAGATGATTGACCTGTGGCCCTCCAGGAGTTGATTGAACAAATAATCATAGAATTGTAGAGTTGGAAGGGGCCCTGACGATCAATTAGTCCAGTCCCCTGAAATACAGGAATATGCAGTTTGTCCCATATGGGGATCAAACCTACAACCTTGGTGTCATCAGCACCATGATCTACTAACTGAGCTCTCAAGGCTGAAGACCATCAAACAATCCATTTCTATGCCACTTAATTTAGTAAAAAATATACCTATAAGCGATGTACAGAAAACGGAAGCAGCAACAGACAACTTAAGGTATTACAAAAATGCAGTTACGTATGAAGGTAAAGGTAAATGGACCCCTGATGATTAAGTCCAGTTGCGGCCGACTCTGGGGTTGCGGTGCTCATCTCGCTTTATTGGCCGAGGGAGCCGGCATACAGGTCATGTGGTCAGCATGACTAAGCCGCTTCTGGCGAACCAGAGCAGCGCACAGAAATGCCGTTTACCTTCCCGCCGGAACGGTACCTATTTATCTACCTGCACTTTGAGGTGCTTTCGAACTGCTAGGTTGGCAGGAGGAGGGACTGAGCAACGGGAGCTCATCCCGTCACAGGGATTCGAACGGCCGACCTTCTGATCGGCAAGTTGCTAACATAGATTTATTTTCCTTCTGACACACATCCTCTCTCTTGGCCTCCGGGTTCTCACTCAGGCTCCAAACAAACTCTCAGCTCACCCACGAGTCTCACAATGAGAATTGCTACTGGAAACAGTGGACATCACCTTTTGCTCTCACCCTAGATCTGCTTTTTTATGGGCAGGCTGAAGGGGGATGGTACTTCCTCAGCTGGCCCACAGCTGTGCCCCATTCAGCTGCACCCTCAACACCCAGTTCTAGGTGTGGCAGGTTTGTTCAGTTTTCCAGGAAGTAAGAAGGATGGGAAGAGGGCCCCCTTCCACTCGCAGCTCTTTCTTCCTCCAGTGTCCTCTCCTTCTCCTCCAGCTGCCTGCAGACTCTACCTGGCAAGTAATTTGCAGTGAGCATCAAGGCAGTTCTTCCTAGCCCCATTTGTCAGGCTCACCTGTTGCTGGGCTCCAGCTCTCCTCAGTCCCAGGCAACATGCTCATTGGTCAGGTGGGATGGAGGTTCTAGTCCAGCAGCACCTGGGGGTGTGTGTGGACAGGAGCAGTTGCCCCATCCCTCAGCTACAAGGACCAGTGGGATGACTCCCAGGAACAGAGGGAAAATTCTTTTTTTTAAAGAAGTTTTTATTTATACTTTTCAAGTTTATATATTTCATTCATTTTACAATCAATTTAACATTTCAAAATTTGACTTCCCTCCCCCCTCTTTCTGAGGTTCCTTAAATTAATTTTTTAATGTCTCCTGCATGTCCAAATTCATTTAACTCGCTCATTTAATTATCTACTGTAAATAGATACTCTTATAAAACTACAGGATATTACAATAACCCTGCTGATGTTTTTATCTGTTTACAATTTGTTTGTAAATATTCAATAAGCCATTTCGATTCTTTTATAAACAATTTGGTATCTTGATTTTTTATTCTTCCAGTAAGGTTTTGCCATTTCTGCATATTCCATAAGTTTTTGTATCCATTCTTCCTTTACTGGGACACCTGCTTCTTTCCACTTGTGGGCAAGTAACATTCTTGCAGGGGGCAAATTCGTGGAGGGAGAACTCTATCAATGGCTACTAACCACAATGGCTATAGTTGGAGGTGGCAAAGCTTCTGAATACCAGTGGCTGGAAACCACAGGAGGGCGAAGTGCTCTTGTGCTTGAATCCTGCTCCCACCTGGTTGGCCACTGCAAGAGCAGGATGCTGGACCGGATAGGCCATTGGCCCAATACAACAGCCTCTTCTTATAACTGCCTTACACTGAGTCCGATGAGTAGAGACCAGAAGAGACTGCCAGTGGTTCTCAAGGGTTTCTGACAGGGATCTCTCAGCCTTACATGGAGTGGTCAAGGATTGAACCCGGGACATTCTGCATATATTGCAGAGGGTTGAACTAGATGATCCTGGGTCCCTTCCAACTCTACAGATCTATGATTCTATGCAAAGCATATGGCTCTACCACAATCGGACCAATTTTGCTTTGCCTCCCAAACTTGCTTCTCTCCCCCGACCCCATGTCCCTGGTTTCAGTTCTGCATTTCTAATGGAAAGTTGGTTGCAACATGACACACAGCTGGCACGATGCTATGTAAGCCCAGATTACACAAGAGTCCCGAATATAGTGTTGTGCACAAATTAACCTTTGCAATAATTTTACACATTGTTCTTTTCCGGGTAAAGAGGAAGAAGCTTCTAGTTCTGTTGGCTCACACACACACACACACACACACACAGAGAGAGAGAGAGAGAGAGAGAGAGAGAGAGAGAGACTGGGTGATGTGCTGCCAATAACAGCTGAAACCAGAAGGGTGGGTTCTCTCACATTTCCTGCAGCTGTGGAACAGGACCTCGGAGTCCCGAAGACCCTTTCTCCTTCCCACAACTGACAAAAACCAGAATGAATGATGCAAAATGCTGTGGGTGGGTGGCAAATCGTGCAAAATAAGGGAGACCCTTTTAGAAGTTACTGTTTCAATGAACTGGAGCAGCGAAAAGAGTGTTGCATCTTAATGTGATGCAGCTGCGATATTTAAACAGGAGAAAAAGCCAGTGTCTGCTCATGTCCCATGAGGATATGTTTGCTTCAATAAACAAGAGCCATTTTCAATCCAGTGCTAGGCCTGTGTAGAGCTTGTGTGAGGCCTGAGGTGGGGATCTTGCTAGAATAAAGTTATAAACTCAAACAAAAAAGTAGCTAGTCCCTAGCAGGGTCCTCCCAGCTGGCCTGGCCCTCCAAAGCCCAGTGCAAGTGTACCCACCTACCACCCCCCTTGCACTTTTGGACATTAAGAGCTGTTCAACAGTGGAACAGACTCCCACAAGAGGTGGTGGACTCTCCTTCCTTGGAGGTTTCTAAGCAGAGGTTGGATAGCCATCTGTCCTGGATGCTTTAGCTGAGATTCCTTCATTGCAGAGGGTTGGACTAGACCTTCCAGGTCTAAGATTCCATGATTATATTCTATGAAACCTGAACTGAGCCAAATCTTCACTATTGCTCAACATCTGTCCGGATCTGGTCTGTAAGCTCCGAGGGGCTCACTTGGGACTTCATTTTGAGTAGGCACCCATAAGACTGTGCCACCAGCTTCAGTCAAGCTGTGGGGCTGGCAGGCAGAAGATAAGGAGCCAAAACTGGTTGCCCTCGATGGCACTTTTCATTTCTAAGAATTGCTGCCTTTGATGGAGCTTTTCATTTCCAAGAATTGCAAGTTTCTGGATGTGAGCTGCTGTATAGTTCTTTTGTCTCGTGCTAGGGGAAATGTTACTCTGGGCTCCCTTTCACTTCCCTTTCCCCCCTTCTTCTTCTTCAGGTTCAGTCCTGCTAGCTAACCAGCAACTCACTTGGCCAGGACTCCTTTTACACTGATCACAGCATTCCTGGTGTCCTATGACACAATTGGTGCCCCTGGGTGCAATCCAGAAAGAGGTATGGGATCAGCTTGAGGGGTGTGTGTGTGAGCATTGGAAGGGTTGGCAAAACAGTGCCTTGGCTGCAGGGGAGGCAGGTGGGTGGTTTTGCAAAGAGGAGTCTCTGCCCGCCCTGTTTGCTTCTTCGTTTTGGATCCCAGAGAACTTAAACACCAGCTTGATTACTCCAGCTTCTGGTGTGTAGGATTGCATCGAAGTCGGAGCAATGCAGGTGCCTGGAAACAGAATGAGAGAATTTGAAATCCGCAATATCGTAAAGTCTTTATCATTCAGCACCCCCTGCCCTCACCCCAAGCAGAATGAATACCCTGTTTTTGAGCATTAAGAGCAGAAGGAGGTTGGGCATTTTGGACTCCCAAGTTTGCTTGGGAGCATAGCTGTCAACCGTCCCTTATTTGGCGGGAAACTCCCTTATCCCAGCGCTGCGTCCCACTGCTGTCCCTTATTGATGATGTCCCATAAAATTCCCGGGTTTCAAAGGAAGCAGCTCCTCTTCCTCCCTCCCTGCCGGCCAGGGAGGAAGGAGGCTCCAACTGTGTTGCTTGGCTGCGTTGCTCACCCAATAAGGAGTCTAAGAACGACTGGGTGGTGGAGCTTGCATGCCTTGTGCTGATCAAATCGGCCGTGTTGCCTGGGGACTCGCCTTTGCTCAGTGTTTCCCAGCGGAGAGGTGACGGTGGTTTTCCTTGCTGCATCCCCTTTGCCGGGTTGCTGCGCTGTGGGGAACACTGCTTGAGGTTTTGTTTGGCTGCTGGCTGGGCTTTCTGCCTTTGGCTCGGAGGGGCTCCAGAAGTCGAACATACCTGTGCCCGGAAAATCCCTTATTTTGACTGCTGATCCCTTATTTTCGAGGCTGCTGGTTCCTTATTTTCAAATCTGTAAGTTGACAGCTATGCTTGGGAGGAGAGTGCCAAGTTCAGTTGGTGCTCTCGTTATCACTGCTCTCCATTATAGGGAGAAAGAAAGCCACCCTGCAGATTATTATTATTATTATTATTATTATTATTCCAAAAGGGGGCAATAATTCACTCCCCGCTCTCCCTCTCTTATTTTCTCCTTCTCCCTTTTGATCTCCTCTTCCCGACACAGTTGCTGTTTTGAAAGTCTACAGAAGCCCACTCCCCAAACACCATCATGGATTCAACTCTGACTGCGCCACCATGGCCCTCCTCAAGGGCTGAGTCTGATGCTTCTGTGCCAAAATCAGTGAAGAGGTTTTATCGGGGTGAGCCATTGGCACTGGGGGTGAGTACAGAATATAGTGGAGAGGGGATCACATTTGAATATACAGTGGCTAGCTCATGACTGCCTGCCTCCTTTGGCACTTCCTTCCGCATGCCATATCAGAAGTTCTGCTGTTGTTGTATGAGTTGCTGTCTACACAAATGTCTGCTGAGTTCTTTTTTTTTTTTTTGCAATGTAATAAGCTTTATTAATAGTCTTACAATACATTACAGTGGACGTTTGCAACCCGCAGCAGTCGCAACCCGCGTCTGCGCACGCCTGGGTTGCAATTCGGTGCTTCTGCATATGCGCAAAGCGTGATTTACCGCTTTTGCGCATGTGCGACCACAGAAACCCGGAAGTAACCCATTCTGGTACTTCCGGGTTTCGGTGGTCCGCAACCCCAAAAAACACAACCTGAAGCATCTGCAACCCAAGGTATGACTGTACATATGTATAGTATATCTCATAGAGTTGAGATTTCAATCATATGCACACACGCGCGCACACACAAAACATATACGTGTCTTTTCTTACATAGTTATAAACCTTAAGCTACAGCTGTGTTTATGCTACTTTTAATGCGGTTATTAACAAAGATTATTAACAAAAATTAACGTCTGCTGAGTTCTATGTGACATGCTGACGGGTAAATGGAGATAGGACTACAACCTACATGAACATTAAAAAGAAGAAGAAATATATTGTTTTGACATAAGCCTTCCTTAGGCACATTAATCCTGAGGCGACATAAAAGTTTAGAGGATTCCCCACCCCTACTTTTTAAAAATAAATAAATAAATAAAAATTATTGAACAAGCAGAGTCGAAAAATACATGCAATACCAGCAAACAAACATAGAAATTATTGAGAGTATACATACAAAAGAACAAAAATAAAGCAAAAAAGAAAGAGGGAGAGAAAAAAAAGAAAAAAAAGAAAGAAGAATAAAAGTATGAATAGAGTAAAAAACATAATAATATCTTATATTTCAGTCAGCAAAGAAAAAAAATTCCGACTATAACCATTGTACTAATTTTCAAATAAACTATTATTTACACAGTTACGCAACGTTGTTTGTCGTTAACTTAATTTAACTTTATCTAACATGTACTTTGTATTACACGGCTCATTCAATATCTGTCAGAAGACTTTTACTATTGCAGTACCCTTTGAGATATTCCTTAATTATAAACCAACCCTTATTTACTTCTTGTATTGTGTTTCTTCTTACTGAGCCCGTTCTCCTTGCTAATTGTAAGTACTCTATCCATTTGGCTTGCCATTCGATCTTTGAGGGGATGATGTCACTTTTCCGTTCTCTTGCTATTAAAATCCTTGCTGCAGTTGAGGCATACATGAATAGCCCCACCTCTTCTTTAAACGCAGAGATGTGGCACTATTTGGTCTATGTGGTTAAATACACATCGTGCATTTATGGGACAATGCAGCACTGCACTCTTCCCAATCTGATGCATTACTGCATTTTGATATTTTGTTGGAAGCCGCCCAGAGTGGCTGGGGAAGCCCAGTCAGATGGGCGGGGGTATTATTATTATCATCTGAGTGGGCAGGAGAAAACCCCATTGTATTCGTGGGAGTCCCTGCACTGGCTTCCACTAGTGCCATTGTTCTCCCTCCCCCCCCCCCAAAAAAATATCCTGAGAAATGTGGTTTACCTCTCACAGAACAGCATTAGAAACTGAGATATGAAAGCTAGGCGCTAAATGGCACCTTAAACCTAGGTTATGGACGCAAGAATGAAATGCCCAGATGCCTTTTTTTTAACAAGAATTCAAAGCCGAAGATGAACTGCAGCTAAAATGTTGTGCTCATTTTTCACATGGTCTAGTCCTTCCCCTTCTTCCCACTCCCCTGATATTCTTAAGAGGGTCTCTTCCCCAGTTTTCAGAGAGTAACTGGAAGTGGGGAGGCAGAAAAAGCTCCTTCTTTCCTTCCACTCTGCAGTTTTAATCCGATATCTTAGGCATGGTACTGTGCCCAGAGCTCAGAAACTGCTCATGCTAATGAAATTCCATGTCACGGAATGTGCCTAGAACAATGGGAGCTTTGAACACTGTCACAGAACTATAATTCCCTGCACTCTTCAACTTGGCTTCAAATGTATGGTGCTTCACATGGAACGAATAATCCTTCCATGTGACGAGTCAATCGAGAACCTGAGTCTGAGAAATGGGCTGGAAAGGTGCTCCACTGCAGTTGCTGTATATGTTGCTTTTAATAATAATAGTAATAATAATAATAATAATAATAATAATAATAATAATAATAATTCTACCCTGACCCTGGTACATTTCGTTAAAAGGTCATGCTATGACCACAGTTACAGCTGACGACTGTCCACAAAGGACTTAATGAAGCTTGAAAATACTGAAGGACAGGCAGGGGTCAAACTTAGGTCAAACACTGGTGGGTTTGTAGTGGACCTGTGACCTCAGTAACTGCCCCAGCAATTCAGACAATGTCTGGGGCAGTCCTGTGCCTAACTTGGCAAGGCTTGTGAGAGCGCTCAGCCCTGCCACCCTGGCTATTAGACCAGCCCCTCTGCTCCTGTTTCTGAGCAGAGATTCCCTCCTCATCTCCCTGTCTTTTGCTTCACACAGCCACCAAACGCTTCCCTCCCTTTTTGGCTTGGGGACAGCTGCTGCCAAGGGTGACCCTGCATGATTGCAAATTTGCATCTCCACCCCCCCCCCATCTTCAAGGCTAACATCAGTACAGGGGGTAATTTGAAGCCTGGAGCCAGTGGCTGCCTAAATCATGGGTAGGCAAACTAAGGCCCGGGGGCTGGATCCAGCCCAATCACCTTCTAAATCCGGCCCGCGACGGTCCGGGAATCAGCATGTTTTTACATGATTAGAATGTGTCCTTTGATTTAAAATGCATCTCTGGGTTATTTGTGGGGCCTCTCTGGTGTTTTTACATGAGTAGAATGTGTGCTTTTATTTTAAATGCATCTCTGGGTTATTTGTGGGGCATAGGAATTCATTCATCCCCCCCCCAAAAAAATAGTCTGGCCCCCCACAAGGTCTGATGGACAGTGGACTGGCAACCTGTGTGTCTTAGTAACCAACTTGTGACATTTTAAGGGTTTAGGATACCCCCTAAAAACCCAATCTAGAATGAATTGGCTCTGCCTGCCATTGACTGTGTGCAAGGTTGGAATAGATGACTTTCAGGCTCCCTTCCAACTCTATGATTCTGTGATCCTGCCTTCACCTGCTGTGGGCTTTCCACCTTCTGCCCTACCAACCACCTACCAACCACCACACCCCAGAGCTGTCCTCGTGAGCCTGTTTATTTGCCTTCCCCTGTCTGATGTTTGAACTGCAAGCACCAGGAAGTCCAAAAAATCTACTGCCTGTCTCCTCAGACTGAGTTCAGAGGGACTTCCTCCCAAGTAAGTGCATTGAGGATTGCAGACTTTGGACCTGATTTCCCTGGCCATGAGGTGTTAGTGGCTCCTTTGAGCATTTCTGTTTTGTTCCAAAGACTCAAGACTACCTTACACGTTATGTTAAGTTTATCCAGTGGCAAACTTTGGCCTTTAAAATTTCAGTGTCGCCTGTGCGATGCTAAAATTCAGCTCCCTGCTGCCTCTCATCTTCCATGGCTTGTTATTGTTGCAGCATCCTTTGCGGGCTGCCTTTGGTTTGGCCCTTGGAAGCTCTCAGTTGTAGATATGTGATGATTATAAGGATATTGCTGGAGTCCACTGGTGTTTATAGGCACCCTGTAGGTTAATTATTGATCCCCATAGTGCTGATTAACTCCTATGGACAGACAAGCAGGTAGCATTCACAAAGAAGAAGAAGAAGATTCACGCCTCTTCTGCACCCCTTGGAGAAGGCATTCATGCCAGAAAAACATGGATCTGAAGTGATCTTTATTTGCTCTGTGGGTAGAAAGTGGGTTGATGCTAAAACCTGGTTTTATGTTTTCTTTGCAGATCACACAGATCCTCCTCGGAATCACGCACATTGCATTTGGAGCTGTGTTTAACCTAATGGGCGATCACAGAGGATCTTACATTGCTATAGAACAACCACTCTGGGCTGGAATCTTGGTAATTCTACATATAATATCTCTGTGTGTTAACCCCCCCCCCAGCAACCTAAAAAAGCAAAACAGTTCCTTCAGGATTCACCTGAGAGTAAGGCAGAGATGAAAATATCAGTGACTACATTATTACATGAGCACTGTTCCACAGCATTTGATATTTTCATTTACATATTCATTCGAAATAAGTTGGGTTTATGAAGCAATTCTATATCTTCCCACCACGCTGACGAAGAATTCTACGAAACAGTAGTCAATATCCAGAATCACTGTTCTTCACTTAATTTAAAGGTTTTCAGAGACTTTGAGACTAAAGATTTCATTTTGGACTTGTTATGGTTTGAAGGAATTCTATAAAAGATTGACTAATGCGTATGTACATGGTCATTGTGTTGCCTAGACATTGCTGACGTTCTCTTTGCAACACAGGGGTTTGTTTGGTTACTTACACCTTGCTTTCTAGGCAGGGACCCAATGAAGAAGTGGCATCTGGTGCTCCACCCTCTCCCACTCTCTGTTGTTTGGTCCAATGTGACAGGTAGCTGGATGCAGCAGTGGTGAGGAGGAGGAGGTCCAGGGGCCTTGTTCCGACATGACCCCTGTTAAGATAAGAGCTCTTGGGAGATGCCTGAACTTGCCAACCCTTGATACCAACTATTGATGCCTGCCGTGTAAGGAAGTGTGCTGAGTTAGAGGCAGAGAGAGATTGGAAAAGGCCCGCAATGGGGAACTGCAAACTACAAAAGCCTCCCTGCCACAGTGATTAGTGTGTTACACTAAGACTGGGAAACTGTGGTTTGCATTCAACTTACTGGTACCTTCTACGTATGAGAAAATGCCTTGTAATCTTGTTCATTGTTTCTGTCTTCCTCTCCCATCTCTTCCAGTACATCATTTCGGGATCTCTGTCTGTGGCAGCTGCCAGGAACCCCAAAGTGCCAATGGTAACTAATTTGTTTTCGGACACACACATCTGTGTGACATGACGGGAGGTGAAGCACACAGTTGGTGACGTCTTCTGCTTGCCATTTAAGGCTCCCTCCTGGAATTCCTGGTCTGAAGCTATCATGCCCAACCTCATGCGTTTTCCCCGAGGAAGTTCTGTGGATTACTTTATGAGGTTTAGGAACTTGGCTCAGGCCAAGCGTCAGATTGGATTGACACAACATTAGAAACGGAGGGGAAATTTGATTCAGTATGCACCAAAAGCTGAATGTATAAAATCGGCACTTTCTGAAATGATATGCATTTGAAAGCTACAGATATCCTTTTAAATCTGCACTTAGTTGAATTTTGCAATGCGCTTCTCCAACCACCCAGTGTTTACGAAAATGCATTTATTAGGAGAATGTGCATAAAGATGAAGATATTAGGACATTGTCAGCTTTTCAATCGCAAACAATGATTTTCCTCTACTCCATATTTTGGGTTCAACTACACACTTAAAAAAAGAAATCCTGCCCCAATCTCAGACAACTCATAGCTGGTCAGCTGCAGCTGGTTAGAATCTGATAGTTTTTAACATTTTTTAAAAAAAATATTGTGGGATATTTCCAAAGCAAAGGATATTTACCCATATAAGTCCAAAGCTGAAATGGGTGCTATTGTCCCACAATGGAACCTGCCCTCCCCACCTCATGTGAAACTCAAGGGGTGGGGCTCTGTATCAGTGTATTGCGACACCATAGGATGTCCCCAGAAGCCCCATCTGTGTCCTGTTCTGGGCGCCACCATTTAAGAAGGATATTGACAAGCTGGAACATGTGCAGAGAAGGGCAACCAAGATGATCAAGGGTCTGGAAACTAAGTCTTTTGAGGGAGTTGGGTGTGTTTAGTCTGGATAAGAGGAGATATAATACCAGGCAGATTGTTGTTTAGTCGTTTAGTCGTGTCTGACTCTTCGTGACCCCATGGACCAGAGCACGCCAGGCATTCCTGTCTTCCACTGCCTGCCACAGTTTGGTCAAACTCATGCTGGTAGCTTTGAGAACACTGTCCAACCATCTCGTCCTCTGTCGTCCCCTTCTCCTTGTGCCCTCAATCTTTCCCAACATCAGGGTCTTTTCCAGGGAGTCTTCTCTTCTCATGAGGTGGCCAAAGTATTGGGGCGTCTCAGGGCTATTGTTACCATTGTAGAGATCAACAGAGCTAGAATTGCTTAATGCAGGAGTAGGCAACCTATGGTCCAGGTGCCCGATGCGGCCCAATCGCCTTTTAAATCCGGCCCGCGGATGGTCCGGGAACCAGTGTGTTGATACATGAGTAGAATGTGTCCTTTTATTTAAAATGCATCTCTGGGTTATTTGTGGGGCATAGGAATTCGTTCTCTTTCCCCCCACAAAATATAGTGCAGCCCACTACATGGTCTGAGGGACTCTTGGCTTAATGAAATAATGTTATATGTCACCATTTTTAGGTGAAAGGCATGCTTGGAATGAACGTGGTGAGTTCTGTGGCAGCCGGCATTGGAATTGTGTCACTCTGTTTCCAACTGGAATTTGACACACCAGGATGGGAAGCAGAATACTATTGCCATTATGAGTATTCAGGCAATACTACACTGTCAGAGTGCATTAAAACTCGCATACTCCCTTGGGTAAGTGCAGGTCTCACCAATACTGAGGGTGCTAGCAAACCGTTGTTATTTTGGGGCGATATTCCAGGAGCACCCCGGCCAATTGAGGTTGTACCATTAAAGTGGATTTAGAGTTCACAGGCCACCAACCCACTTCCTCCAAAGATGATACTTTGCAAGAAGGAAGATAAACGTACTGGGAAGTGTGGGGAAACACTTGCTTGAGGCAAAGTTTGAGTGAATGCTGAATAAATGGACAACATTGTCCACTCTCCCAGCAAAGGGAGGAGGAGGGACACAGAACAGGGTGAAACAGGGTGCCTTAGCTCCTGGAGGGTCCTGTCCGTGAAGAGAGGAAGTAATTTGTGTCACTAATATAATCTCTCGTAATCATTAGCAGAGGTGAAACTAGGCTTTCTTTCACCCGGGTCAAAGACCCAGTTTGGCACACACAGACCCCACATGCATTTGTTTACACACACAGGCTGGGAGCCTCTGGTGGCTTCAAAAAACCTGGCTCACCGCCCTGCAGCTACAGCACTGGCTTTGAAATAACCAGAACAACAGATGGGGAATAGTGATTACTTTGATTTTGGAATTACGTACGTTTGGTGCATTTTGCATTGTCCCAGCGACACTTAAGCAATTGCAAGCCTTGTGGGTTCTTGAGGTAGGCAGCCAAGTTAGGCAGCCAAGTTAGTCTGCTGCCCCCCAGTGTCCGGGGGCACTGGGTATCTGTGTGCATTATTATTTTTGCTCTTGTATCCCACCTGATCACTAATAATAATAATAATAATAATAATAATAATAATAATAATAATTTATTTATACCCCGCCCATCTGACTGGGTTTCCCCAGCCACTCTGGGTGGCTTCCAACAAAACACTAAAATACAGCAACCTATTAAACATTAAAAGCTTCCCTAAACAGGGCTGCCTTCAGAAGTCTTCTAAAAGTTTGGTAGTTATTTTTCTCATTGACATCTGGTGGGAGGGCGTTCCACAGGGTGGGTGCCACTACCGAGAAGGCCTTCTGCCTGGTTCCCTGTAACTTGGCTTCTCACAGGGAGGGAACTGCCAGAAGGCCCTCGGCGCTGGACCTCAGTGTTTGGGCAGAACGATGGAGGTGGAGACACTCCTTCAGGTCTCCAAGGAGCTCGAGGTGGTCTACATCCTCACAACAACCGTGTGGGGTTGAAGGGCTGGGCTGAAAGAGATGACTTGGCCAAAGGCACCTGGCAAGTGGGGATTTGAACCCTGGACTGCCAGGTCCTAGCCTGAGACTCTTTGAAATACACCTATAGACAAGCATACACCTTGCTGGAGGGTAATTCCCTTTGCTGGGCTCTCTGCTTCATTGACAGAACATGTTGTATGGAATCATGGCTGTCTTCCTGGTATTCAATATCCTTGAGTTTTGCATCACTATCTCCACCGCTGCGTTCGGGTGCCAGACTGTTTGCCAGGACAACTACACCGAAACGGTAACATTGAAAAGAGTGGGGTTTGGTAACCAGAGCAGGCAGAGATTCAGTGACAGGGTCCTAAAATAAGGGGTCTTGTAGAATAACGATATTCCATGTTGGGGCTGGAAGTCTGCCTCTAAAACTCTTAGCTCATTGTTCCTGAAATATGCTCAGAGTCCTGTAGTGATTTCATGCTCTTTATTGCAGCTTGTAAAACAGTGATTGAATTGCCCCCCAAACCTCAGGCTTTTATATACATTATTTACACAATGAGTCCCATCTGATTGGCTGATTCTGCTTCCCTCCTGAAGCCTGATTGGTCTTTTCCTGCAGGCCAATCAGTTGTTGCATTCTAGGATCCTACTTGCCTATTGTTCTAGGATCCAAGGTTAGTACATAACAGCTCCTAAGCTCCCATTGCAGTGTGAAACAGATGTATCTAGCTTGAAAGAATTGGTTTGCTGTCAGCACTATGGACTAGAAAACCACCTAGCAGCACCATCAAGATCCTGAAATACTCGGGGAACCTCCATGGATGCAAATGGCTTCCTGCTGCAGATGGTTACCTTGAAGGCAGCTGAAACAGTGATGGAGCTGAGGGCTGAGCTAGCAGACTCATCCTGACAGCCTCCCTAGGTGCTGATTGTGGGTGGAAGGGCTGTGGCTCAGTGATACAGCATCTGCTTTGCATCTAGGAGGTCCCAAGTCCAACCCCCCACAGCCCTTCCCTTATTTATCAAGAGCCAAACTTCGTTGTTGTTATTCAGAAGCTGAGCATCACAGTAAATGCACAGCAAGGCTGATTTTACTCTTGGAGTATTCTTTTCTGCAGGTTGTGGTGGTTTACCAGAATGCGACCCCAGGCGATGCTCTTGGTCTTCCAGCTGCTTGCAAGGATCCCAATTCCCCCTGATTTGCTTCCTGTTCCACCCTCCTTGACTGCCATCTCCTTCTGCAAAGTCAAGAGCAAAAAAAGGATCAATGTGTACTTATGTGCCAAGCAGCTTTACTGGCTAGAACAAGATTGTCTTCGTAACCAGAGGAATACAATGGAACTATTTTGATGAAGCGGCGTGGACATTTCTTTTTTGATAGAAGGGCAGCTTTATAACTTTGAACTGACCTTTTAAAAGTAGATCAGGGGACTATAAGAAACCGGTCAATGGGAGCCCTTAAAACAAAAGGGGTCATTTTTAACAAATACAGTAGTAAGGATTTTCAAAACAAACTATAGCGAATGTTGCATTGCCTAACTATCCATCAGCTGAGAGGAAGAAGAAGAAGAAGAAAGATTGCAAATAAGATGTGGGTTGATTGGAGGAATATATACCATTGAAATTGCACTAGATATCTTGCAGCAAGATATGAATGGAAAAAGGAAATATTATACAAATGTATTATGCTTTGTTCATTGTTTCTGGTCTTCTGTTTTCAGATAGCTTTGTGTGTTCCCAGCATCTAACACAGGGATTCTGACATGCTAGAACAGAGGTGTGGAAGCTCTGGTCTGTAGGCTGATGTGGCCCACTAGGGCTTTGAATCTGGCCCTCAGGACTTTCCCCAGCATATTGCTCCCCTCCCCTCTTCCTACATTACCCCCAGCTTCAGCCCGGCCTTGCAGAGTGTTTTTGTCTGGCTGGAATGTGACAGCAGGGGTCGGCAAGGCTTACCGGGCATGGGCCAGATCACTCTCATAGAGATCCTCTGTGGGCCAGACTGGTGCAGCGCGACACCAGAAATCGCGTCTGTGCATGTCCGTGGCACCGGAAATCGCTTCTGCACATGCCCAGACATGAAAACTGTGCCTGCACAGAAGCAATTTTTGGCATCTGGGCATAGGCAGAAGCGATTTCCGGTGCCATGGACAAGTGCAGACATGATTTCCGGTGTCTGGGCATGAGCAGAAGCGATTTCCGGAGCCGTGGAAGAGAGTCCCCACGCCACGCTGCACTGGTTTAGTGCAGCGCGTGGAGACTCGCCAAGCGGGCAGCTCGGTTTGGGGGCAGCTCATGGGCCGCTTAAGCGACCCTCATGGACCACTTCTGGCCCATGGGTTGCCGACCTCTGCCTTGGAGCTTTGTTATTGCCTCTGTGTGATCCTGTTTGCACTATGTATTTAATGGAGCATAGTAGCACTTTGCAGCCTGCTACCACCATGCAAATATATTGATCCCGAAGTTGGGTGCCCCTCTCTCTGCCTAGCTGTGGCAAAAGCCCATGGAGCCCAGGCACAGACACAGGGTCTATGTCCCCTTGGAGAATGGAAGATGCAGCAGAGACTGTTGTGGCTTTAAGAAATTGCTTCATTCACCTATTTACACCTTCAGCATGCGTGGAGTGAGTCCAGATCTTATGGCACACTCATTCCAGGAGGCATCAGTGTAAGCTGACTGCAGCCAGCCTCTCCTATGATCGACCTCTGCTCTCCCTACCCCTGCTTCCCCTAGAGCAGTTACCCAGGCCACCTCCCAAATCCCCAGTCTCTGTTCACACCTGGAGCAAGAGGGGAAGGAATTTCCTTGTATTGTTAATGTGCCTCAGTTGCTCCCTATCATTTGTAGCTCAGCCACACACAGGAATTCTTTTGCAGCTTGCATTCTCCTTTCATATCACAAATAAACGAAATCACAGTGTAGTGGAAAACACACAGGAAAAATGGAAGATTTCGTCTTGCACAGTCAGCCCTTCCTGTGAGTCCTCGCTGGAGCACCTCTGCCCTTGAGGGAGGCCCAGCTGGGGCTCGACTGTCCATATTAGGAGCCCTAATCTGCACAGGTGGTGGTTCGGGAGACATCCAGCCCCATCTGCTTGGGGCAGGTACAAAGTAGTCAGAGAGGATAAGGTTGATGGCCCAAATGCTGCTGAGGCTCCCTATGGCTGGATCTGGTGCTGCATGTGGGTGAAGTTCTGGTGGGGGAATTGTGTCTTTGGAATTGTTCCTTTGGGGTTATTTCTCAGTGTTATAGGGTTTTTTATTGCTGTTTAAGAAGGTTTACTGTGGGTTTTGTTGTTGTTGTTGTTCAGATAAAAATACCTTTCCTCTCATATATTTTCTACCAAAGATCCTTTTGAAGAACCTGCAGTGTTAACTGGCAAAACACCTAGCATTTATTAATTTCTAGGGCTTGCCCTAAATCTACAACAATATGGTAAACAAGATTCAGAAATTGCTCCCCAAATGCATGTTTGGGTCTGAGCTACAGTTCCCAGAGGGGTTTAAGCATCCATGCCTCGTCCCAGAGAGCAGTGGTTAGGAGCTGTGCTCCCCACCCTCCTTGAGTGCCTTTGCCTGGCTCACAGCAGATCTGATTGTAATAATTTCTGTATCTTGACTGGATGGAGGACGGAGAAAGGGAGGTGTATGTGCACATGGAAAGCTCCAACATTTGTTTTGTCCCCCCCCCCAATTTTTTTAATTGATTTTCCAAAATTTTAAAACAAACAGACAAACACAAATCTTAATTATACTTAATCCAATTTTAGTTACAGATGGGTAGCCGTGTTGGTCTGCCATAGTCAAAACAAAAAAAAATCCTTCCAGTAGCACCTTAAAGACCAACTAAGTTAGTTCTTGGTATGAGCTTTCGTGTGCATGTATCTGAAGAAGTGTGCATGCACACGAAAGCTCATACCAAGAACTAACTTAGTTGGTCTTTAAGGTGCTACTGGAAGGAATTTTTTTTGTTCCAATTTTAGTAACATTGTTACGTGACTTCCTCAAATCCCCCTAGCTGAATTTCAATGTATATCATTGTAACAGTTTACCAAAACTAATTTTCTCATAAAATTAACTTAATCACTTAACATCTTTCTTTTCATTTTTAAATTTAAACATGCTATTCTCTGACATTGCCTATTCAAATCCTAAGCATTTGCAAGTTTTTCCAATTAAGTTATCTTAACATATTTGACTAAATACTCTTTGAATTTCATCCATTCCTCCTGGTATTCCTCCTCCTCCTGGTCGCAGACTCTTCCAGTCAGGTCGGCTAGCTCTGAAAAGTCCATCATCTTCATCTGCCATTCCTCCACTGTTGGGACTTCTTGTGTTTTCCAATTCTTAGCTAACAAAATTCTTGCTGCAGTTGTGTCATAGGAAAGCTCCAGCATTTGCAGGGCATTTGCCTGGCCCAGCCCACGATGGGCAGGAGGCCCCTGGAAGATTCCCCACCATGAAATGCAGCCCTCAGGCTGAATAACATTGTGGGCTAAGTCCTAAGAACCAATCTGAGGTGGCTGTGCGGGAGCTTAGCAAATATTTTCTAAACATGTCCTCAGTAGGTATGTTGACATGACAGTCATGCCGTTTCTTCTCTCTCCATGATTCTAAAATAACGCGGCAGATTTGGTTTAGGAAATCTGTTTAACTTATCCATGCATTCAGGACAGATCCTGAAGCTGAGGCTCCAATACTTTGGCCACCTCATGAGAAGACAAGACTCCCTGGAAAAGACCCTGATGTTGGGAAAGATGGAGGGCACAAGGAGAAGGGGACGACAGAGGATGAGATGGTTGGACAGTGTTCTCGAAGCTACCAACATGAGTTTGACCAAACTGCGGGAGGCAGTGGAAGACAGGAGTGCCTGGCGTGCTCTGGTCCATGGGGTCACGAAGAGTCGGACACAACTAAACAACTAAACAACAACAATAGCATGCACTTAAATAGGGTGAATAAGTTGCTATTACTAAGAAATGTTAATGTTGGGAATAGATACTATATCTGCCTTCCTTCCTTTGTTCTGAATTATGTTTGGAGTTCTAATCCCCTCATCCCGTATAAAATCTGATACCACTTTTTCCCATTGGTTCACAACAGCGTTCTGACCACATTTTTAGATTTAAGCAGGGTGCTATGTGTTCCCAAATAGCATAAGGGTATTGAATGTGGTCTTGTGCATGAAATACAGCTTCCTAAGAATATTGCCTTCTTCCTTTTTGAAAATGAAAAGCGAGCTTCTTGTTTTGTTGGCAGAGAGAGAGAGAGAGAGAGAGAGAGAGAGAGAGAGAGATAGAGAAAGACTGGGTGGAGTGCAGCCAATACAGGAGGAATCTTCAGAAACCAGAAGGGTGGCCTCTCTAACTTTTCCTGTAGTTGGGGAACAGGACCTCAGAGTTCCGCAGACCCCTTTCCTCCCCACAGCTAACAAAACCGGACTAAACGATGAAAAATGGGGCGGGTAGGTGGCAAAATCGAGCAAAATAGGGGAGACCCTTATAACCCTTAACTGGACAAATGCAGAGTGTTTTGAATCTTGATGTGTGATGCAACTGGGAGAGAGTGGGGCGGAGTCGGAGTATCCGGAGAGGAAACGTTGACGTGAAGAAACAGAGCCAATTAAAAGCCCGCGTTCTCATCAAACTGGAATTCAGCAAAATCTAAACTGTTACCCAATATCTGGGTCCGCATCCACTTCTGCAAGCTCTAATAAGATCAGCTGACACTTCTTTCGAGTAGGCACCCCTAGGACTGCACCGTCAGGAAAGGAGCGGTAGCTGCGAGGCAAGAATTGCAAGCGAGATCTCTTTCTGAGCAGGTCCGTGACAAGTTCGCACTTCCCGCCCCTCCCAAATCTTCTCCCCAAAGTTCAGCCCCGCTAGTTAACCATCATCCCGTTTGGCCGGGACTCCTCGACCATCCCGCAGATCCCAGCGGCGCAGGGACGTCTTTTCGCGCTCTTGGGGCCAGAGGAGGCGAGGGATCCATGCACCACGGTCTGTATTCTGCGTGGCAGCCTTGACGGGTGGTTGCCTTTGCCTAGAGGGGAACCGGGTCCCAGCCAGAGGAACCAGCTCTTTCCCACTCCTTTTCCTCCGAGGCAGAAGGAAGAACCTGTCGCTGAGGAGGAGGGCGGGCAGTTTGGAGTCCCGGGTTAAATGTCATGGGCGTAGCCAGGATTTATGTTAGTTGTGCCAAGTGCGCCTGCTGCTCTCAGTCTCTCCGCTCTCCAGTAAGGGAAGGGAGGGAGAACGTCTCCTGTTTCCATCCCTCGCCATTGGGATGCCAATTTAGGACACTTCCAGCCTGCCACTATTTTCAACTGTCGTAAATTTAGGGAAATCGCCAGCGCAATCTGAAACCCTCTGGTTCCTAACCCTGCTCATCCCGAGGGGCGGCGGCGTGTCTTTCTGCAGGATTGCTCCCTGCTGAGGTCCTTTGCAGCTTACCAGTTGACTGAGAAATCATCCTGATTTAATGGCACAAAGTGTTCAGCCTGTCGTAAATTCAGCGCGAGCCGTTAAGGGTCACTTCTGAACGAGTCGTTTTATGGAGCACGAATCCTGATGCGTTTGCACAAAGCTCGCGCGCGAAGGTTAGGCAATGGCTGTGCGCGCGCACACGACACTCTGCCCCGGCTGGCATGGCGCTCCCACAACTGGGATCTGAAGCCGAGTGCGCAGCACGAC